ATTTCAAAGTCAAAAGCCAGAGATTCAAATCTGTATCTGATAGGGTGCATGAAACAGTGACCAGGAAGCACATGCACAATGAAGAAATACTCATAAAGTATGCAAGGTCGTTTTGCATTAATGTGATATTACTCATTTCAAAGATTCAACACAGAAGATTCAATACAATGGTATTAGTCCAAACATCTCAGGAAGCAGATTTCATGGCACAGCAATGTAGGAGTTAAAATGGAGCAGGTGGCATAATGCAGCTCTCTTTGTAAGGTGAATTTTAAACATAGAGTTCACTTTCTTTTCAATGTATTATAGAATGAGGGTTTTTGCACACTGGGAGGAATATAATAAGATTCTCCGACCTCCTGCACTATAATCTTTATCTTTGTTGTCACCCCTTATTGAGATTGAGCTACAATTAAAATTATTCGTGAGAGATAATCATGACTAATTAGAGGTGAAGCCACTAATTTGCATGAATTTTTTTCAAGTTATAATTTTGAAATCCTCACCATGCATCATACACTATTACCCCATAAAATTAAACCCTGGGAAAAAAATGGTACCTGAAATTTGCTGTCAAATTTTACAGCTTTGAAATTTAATAATAATAATCCTTAGACTCGACATTGTGCCTTTCATGTCTGAAGGATATTTCAAAGTGGTTCTGAAGATTTTACTGTGAAGTGCAATGCCTTTGTATTTTGTAACTGAACACTGCAGCCAAATTTTACGCAGTAATGTTCTACAACAACAACAACAAGATTTCATTTATAGAGTGCCTTTCACGTCGGGAGGACGTCCCAAGGTGCTGACAGTTGGGTCGGGACCCGAGCAGGGGGGAAATGGTTAGGATGAGGGGAGGGAATGGAGGGAAGGGAGGGAGCGAGGAGGGGGTAGAGAGTCGAGAGGGGAGCTGAAGGCACGGTCGAAGAGAAAGGTCTTGAGACCGGCCTTGAAGGAGGAAAGGGAGGAAGCAAGGCGAAGGCACTGGGGGATGGAGTTCCAGAGCTTAGGGGCTGAGAGGCTGAAGGCCCGGCCACCGGTGGTAGGGCGGTTGGGGCGGGGGATGTGAAGCAGACCGGAGCCAGAGGAACGGAGGGTACGGGCAGGTAAGTAGGGGGATAGTAGGTCGGAGAGATAGGAGGGAGCAAGGTCGTGAATGGTCTTGTAGGTGAGGATGAGGATCTTGAATTCGACAGTCATGAATACAAACACTCATGAAGTGAATGATCAATTTTATCTGGGGAATACTTGGGCAAGACATCCGGAGAAAACTCCTTTCTCTTTTCAAATCATGCTACACGATTTTAACATCCACCTGAACAAGTAGATGGGTCCTTGGTTTGATGTCTCATCTTCAGGGCAGCACTTCTAAAATCTGCATTCCCCCAATACGGCACTGGAGGGTCAGCTTAGACTATAAAGGTTCTAAAATATACAGTTTGCAGCAATGATGGCTTATTTCTGTACATGACCAGAAATCAGAAAGTAGGATGTGTGACTGTGATAATAGAGAATTTAATATTGTCTCAAATGGCTGTGGCTTTAGTTATGAAACCTATACTGCACACGTTACAGATCAGCCTTATCATAAGTTTGGATTGATTCAACTCGGAAACTACTAAAATTGATCTAATATCTGATGTTTAACTGTGGAGTGACTTTTGGAATCCAGTGTTAATCATCTTAACAGAAGTAGTGTGGAGCCACCTTGAGGAAATATTGTCACTACTTCACAACCAGTGGCTGTAGCCAGTACAAAGCAAACTTTTTTTCCCATGCTGGATTGCCACAGTACTTTTTTGAAGTTTGTCAAGGGATGACAGTCCTACCAAACGTTATGTGTTTTTTTTTTACAGGCGTTACCATCCGGTTTGCTAATTGCTGCACGTACACGTTAATACGGGTGAGCAAAGCACCACGTTAGCAATGTGTACTGTGCGACAGGGCTGAGTTGATCGGTCTGTGCTGCTGACTCGCACTGCTCTAAAGCAGGCGTTCGGGTCACATATGTATCCACCTAATCGCTGAGGCTCTGCCCCCATTTCTTGATGAAGATTTGCATTTCCCTCCAGAAAAAAAGTAGATCGCAAAGAGAATACAGTTGCTACCCAGACGCCTCATTGCATCCCTCCCCCCCACCACTCCCTCCACCACCAAACAAAAAAGCATATTGTGCAAAGATAACTGTATCTGGAACATGCAAACACTTTGGGGTCAAATATATAAATTCCCATCTGGAGGATTTAGATGGAAGTCATATTTATCTGCAGTGACTCTTACACAACCTCAGCACAAACAGAAGAATTTAAGAAAAATAAACACGAATGAAAGCATTCTGGAGGGCTGTCATAATATAAATGGATCAGGAAGCATCCATGTAATTTTATGTTTTCTGCTAGTATTGAAGAAGGGAGTTATTTTCTACATTCAGCGCCGAAATTGTTTCTAAAGCACTCTCATATCAGATAAAACACTGCTGCAGAAGAAGTTCCGTCTATCCAAGTTTAACTCCAAAATTCACATGAGAATTCATTACTGTTCCAATGTAAATGTTCTTCTCACAGTCCTTGCTGTGTCTTCCCTAAACCAGATTCCTAAGTTTGTCTCAATTTCTCTTAAATGATGGTTCGTTTACTACTTCTAACTCATCTGATTGAGAATGACTCCATTATTCAAAATCACCCACATCTCTCATGCATTTTTGAAACACTTTGGGAATTAAATATAATAACAATAATCCTTCCTTTTGAAATGATTGACCAATGAGGAAATTCTGACGAAATGCAATAAAGATACAAATGAAACCATAAATAAGGTTTTACTGTATTGCATTTCACCTTTGATGGTCCATTTCAGTGTATGGTTCAACCACAGATTAGTGGGATGCCCATTAATCTGATTATTTTGTTTAGTCAAGCTATTCCACAAGACGGATCTTTTAATATGAAGCCGATTTCTTATCATCAATGGGAGGGAAGTGGAGAGGAGTCACCTCCTGCACACGCGAGGACCAGTCGATGTGTTCAACCTCACAAGGCTTTGATACTCAATATGGGTGTTAATTAACACAGCACGACATGGCAGGTTATGGCATTGTGTGCAATTTTGGACACCCTACTTTCTGAGGGACGAGACAGAATTCAACACAGAGAACAAAGAGAAACAAGGATAATTCTGGGATTTGATGAGAGGCTTACAGAGGTGACCCTGTTCTCTCTAGAGAAAGAAAATTTAGGATGGTTGGAACGATCCAACAAGACTTTTAACACTATGAGAGGCATAAGATGAGGTGGGTGCGAGCATATGATTTGACCGGGACATAAAATAAAGCTGGTGGGGTGGGGGGTTCTGAAAGGATCATAGTAGAAGAGCCTCAATCAGGATTCCTTGCCACCCAAACGTTGTGCATGTTCTTTGTGGCATATCACGATTCAGTCCTAAAATTGCACAGCAGATCACTGGGCGCACTGTGTGCTGTGCTGATTGCCTCCTGATAAAGCCATCTAATTGTATCACATTTCCCTCCAGAATTACTCATTGATTCTACACAATCCGGGGTTAACAGCTCACACTTGTGTTTTACACTAAGAAAACAAAAAATCCAGTTTATAAAGCACCCGACGATACCCAGGTGCTTTGGAAATGATCTTGCATTCTTCCTCTCTTACTTTACCCCCAAACCCCCTCTGCAACAAAAACAGTCGGTTTGCTTTTTTTTTAAAAAAAGTGAAAATGCAGAACACGTTAATACTAAATAATGGAAGGAATGTGCGTTTGGACGATGAGTTGCAAGTGGCGATGCCAGTAACATGCCGACCTTTCTCTGGATCTAATAGTGTATATGGTATAGCTCGAACCATAAAAGCTCTTAGCGACCTATATGCACGTCTTTACATGGACTGATATTGTATTGCGAGACTTCTGCACCAAAGTAAATGGCATCATCACTTGTGTGTGGTTGCTCGATGCAAATCTGGTTTGACTTCAGAAAGGAATAGAACTGCTCTGAACTTCGAAGTTAAAATCATACATATACGCAGTGTGGGACCTTAAACCCTCTGCAATAGATATTTTAGCAGATCTACACTCTGCACTCGTGATAAAGCAGTACAGAAAGTCAAAGGCAGCGAGTGAGCTCAATATTGTCCACATATACCGCTGTTGGAATTGACCTTTGCAGTTTGTGACATTATTGGGGAAGGTGTCGTGTTAAACAATAGTTTTAAGCAAAAACTCCTGAGATGTTCGTGGCATTTGGAATGCGCTTTTACGCGCATCGTTATCTTCCTAATTCGCGTTGAGCACTGGCGCTATTTGGCTGTGCATTATAACATGGTTTAATTCAGTCCTTCGCTAAGAAACACTTGGCAAATGCCCCCCCACACCCTCCCCCACACCCCCACCCCGTGTAACGTGTTAAATCTCTACGGTTTCTGCACATTGCTTTTGACTCATTTCACAGACTCCCACGAGCGAAGGGCTTTCTGGTTGCGAGAGTGATGAGGGGGGAAGGGAAGGGGAGGGGTGGGGGTGGTGGGGGGGGGGGGGGGGGGAGAGCTTCCTTCCCACACGGTCTCAGCCCGTGTCTTTGTGTGTGCAATATCAAACCGCACCCGACAAAAAGGGTTCGAGGTAAATCGATCTGCTTTTCTGAACCATTTAACCCGCTGACGTTTCTCTCCAATTAAATGCTGGCAGTCCGGTGTCCCGGGGGCGGTCGTGTGTCACACGCGTTAAGAGGATAAAATCGTAGTCATGGGACCTCCAGGCGACTGACTGTGATCTTTGCGTAATCGTAGTAAGTCAGAGCTGCGGCCATCCACCCACCCACCCACCCACCCACCCATCCATCCATCCATCCATCCACCCACCCACCCACCCATCCATCCATCCATCCATCCATCCCCGGCGCCGTGAATGTTTAGCGACCTGACAGCTCGGGTAAGGGTTGACGGACACCCCAGAGCGACCACCCCTTTACTTAAAGGGCGTCGGGAGAGGCAGTCGGGGAGCAGAGCCGCCAGAGGGGGAGCAACTCCTTCTGCGTAACTGAAGGGGGACATTAATTTTCTCTGTTGTCTTCTCAGGTTGTCTTGGGAGATCGGTCGGTCCACATCCGCTATAAATACAGACCGAACTGAACTGAACTGAGTCTGAGTCTGAGTCGAGTCCTCCGGCGCCAGAGGAGAGGGACGGTCCGCTTTCCGAGGAGCTTTTCGGGAAGATCACCAGCGCAAAGGTGAGGTGACCCACAGCAGCGCTGTGCAAATCCCTCGCGGATATAAGGCATTATATTAGGCAAAGTAACTGAGAAGAAGTCTCTCCATCGTGTGTGTGTGTGTGTGTGTGTGTGTGTGGTTTCGGGAGAGTAATATTTTGCTTTTAAAACAGTCTCATCTCTGAACCAACAACTGCTGCCGAACCGCAGTCCTACAATGCGCAACGCTGAGCTGCGTCTTGTGGGGTTCAGTTGAAGTTTCCCTCTCAGTGGCGGTGACCGCAGCCCCAGCGCTGCGGGACCGCACTTTGCAGTCACTCAGAGCTCCGCTCCCGCACAGATCTCCCCTGCGGGAGCCGCAGGCGCGGGCGAGGCTTATCGAAACCCCGCAACGTTAGGCGGAAAATACGATTTCTTGGCGTGTGATAAATATATTGTTCAATTGATCCGCGAGAGGAAGAGACGGCAGAAGGCGGAATGTTGTTTTAAAGTGGTTTTAAAGTTTTTAAAGCCTTTTGTTTTGCAATCTCCGCTGATGGTGTCTTGTGTCTTTACTTGTGTGTGTGTGTGTCTGTGTGTGTGTGTGTATCTGTGTGTGTGTGTGTGTGTCTGTGTGTCTGTGTGTGTGTGTGTCTGTGTGTATCTGTGTGTATGTGTATCTGTGTGTGTGTGTGTCTGTGTGTGTGTCTGTGTGTGTATCTGTGTGTGTGTCTGTGTGTGTGTGTATCTGTGTGTGTGTATCTGTGTGTGTGTATCTGTGTGTGTGTGTCTGTGTGTGTGTCTGTGTGTGTGTGTCTGTGTGTGTGTCTGTGTGTGTATCTGTGTGTGTGTGTGTCTGTGTGTGTATCTGTGTGTGTGTGTGTCTGTGTGTGTATCTGTGTGTGTGTCTGTGTGTGTATCTGTGTGTGTGTCTGTGTCTGTGTGTGTGTGTCTGTGTGTGTGTGTCTGTGTGTGTGTGTGTGTGTGTGTATCTGTGTGTGTGTCTGTGTGTGTGTGTATCTGTGTGTGTGTGTGTGTCTATGTGTGTGTGTGTGTATCTGTGTGTGTGTCTGTGTTTGCAGTTCATGGCTTTACTGTGGAAGTGCCACTGGCTGATGGCGGTGCTGGGCACAGCTTCCCTGTTCCTGGGGATCTGGGCGGATTGCGACAAGGAATGCGCTTACTGTGCCTACCGCCTGAGCACACAGTCGGTGGAGTTTAACCCTCTGGTGAGTTCAAATCCCAGCCCCTGCACTCGCACACTTTGCAAAGCACACGGCACGCACTTGTTACCCTGAAATATGCAGATGTGAGTGAATTCACTCACTGCAAGGATTATTATTATTATTATTAATTCGGGAAACGCCATTGCATTGTAGAGAGTGAATGAACCCCCCGATCAGACACAGCGGGAGGGAGGGAGGGATTCACAGTGAATAAAAACACGCCATTCCACTCGCTCTGTGATGGAAACATTTAAGAGTCCAATGTGTCGGCCAAGTCTTGTGAGCACAGCTATATGATGAATCCAACTGTATCTGAAGACACTGTTGGCCGCCCACTTGTTGTGGGTGACTGTGTGTTACTTGTGATCCCTGAGTTAAGTTGGTAGATGAGAGTCTGGTTGCAGGTCGCAAAATAAACCCGCGTGTTAGTGAAAAACAGGGGGAAACGATTTGTAGAGGATCACCCGAAAGGATGAGGGAAGACGCATGGGGTGAGAGGGAGAATTAAAAGCAAAGGGAGATCAACCAGAGAGAATTAAAAGCAAAGCCAGCAGATCGTTGCTCCGTTATAAGATGACAGTAAGCAAAACACCTCCAAGGTAACTCTTAAAGTAGAGTCCTGTAGCTCAGTGGTTAGAGCACTCGCCTTGCAAGCGAGACACTTGGGTTCAATTCCAGGCAGGGCGAAACCTTGCGCAAGTTTCCTTACTCCACACGCCTAATAATAATCCCTCCAAAACAAAATCAATAATAAATTGGTCATTTTCAATCCACGACTGTTTGTGGGACACTGCTGTGTGCAATTGGCTGCTGCGTTTCGCCCACAAATATACCGTCAGTTCACTCTACAGTCTATTCTGTGAAGCGCTTTGAGATGTTGAGAAGACGTGAAAATGCAAGGATTATTCTTATTATTATAAAGTAGAGAGGCTGGAAACTATACAAAAAACAAACGTAAGCCTTTTGAGAAGCAGAGAGGAGAGGGGAGGAGAGGGGAGTGGGGGGAGAGACTGGGTTTCCACCATTAAACTGTGATTGCGGAGTTGAATAACAAAAAAAAGAAAGAGTTGATTTTAAAGATTAGGCGGCCAGTGAGTGAACTGTTGAAACAAGAAGAGGAGAGCAGTGAGCAACATGTCCTGGCCAGGGATCTCGCCAAGTGAGGAGCCCACATAGCAGCCACCCAGCAATTCCTCTCCGTAACTCTCTGTCCACCAGCAGAGAAACCCCACTCTCTCAAGCTCACCAGCAGAGAAACCCTCCTCTCTCTAGCCCACCAGCAGAGTAACCCTCCTCTCTCTAGCTCACCAGCAGAGTAACCCTCCTCTCTCTAGCCCACCAGCAGAGTAACCCTCCTCTCTCTAGCTCACCAGCAGAGTAACCCTCCTCTCTCTAGCTCACCAGCAGAGTAACCCTCCTCTCTCTAGCCCACCAGCAGAGTAACCCTCCTCTCTCTAGCTCACCAGCAGAGTAACCCTCCTCTCTCTAGCCCACCAGCAGAGTAACCCTCCTCTCTCTAGCTCACCAGCAGAGTAACCCTCCTCTCTCTAGCTCACTAGCAGAGAAACCCCACTCTCTCTCTCGCCCTCCGAAACTGGAGCAGAGAGATGCAGTTAATGTGACACCTTCTTGCCATCGAGTTGCTGTTGTTTGTGTTGGTAGAAAATATTGTGCTTTTTAAAAAAAAATTGTTGTTAATGTTGGCCTAGAAAGTGTTTAACAAAAGAGCAATCAGTGGTTTATTTCCTTGGTGGGTGAATTCCATGTCTAAATCCTTATCCCAGTGTAAAGCGAGAAGCTGATGCTGGCTACACAGTAGATCACTTACCCTTATCGACAGGGAAGGGGAAGCTAAAGAGAGTAATTTAAACTACTCTCCAAAATGTTGGGAAAATCATAGCTAACATGAGATTTCATATAGTTCAAACCAAGAGCAACTCCACGTAGTTCATCGACACGAGTGTTGTGAGCTAAGTTAAAGGTGCAAAAACAGAACTGCAAATAGATTGAAATCTATCTTACAAGTGCCCTGCTACACAATAGTAAATAGCCTGTGTTCAGGGGGTCAGTGAGGGGCAGAGCAGCAAAACAGGCTCCAATCCACAGACAGACAGACAGACAATGTGAACATTTACCTGGGGGAACATCAGGAATCAGTATAGCAATCTATGTATAGCAATATACATCGTACAACCAGTATCAGCTTCTATAAAATCCGTCCCATAAAGAGTTACTGATATTCTGAATACAGTGTAAGACAGGGATAATTCAACCAGTGTGCAATAGTGGTTGAAGGCACGACGGCGAATGATGACGCGCATACATAACATATACACACAGAAAGAGTATAACCATGAGACAGATTATTTAATTCAATACAGAGGGTCTAATTGTGTCCATTTTTGCTTTTTAATAACCATTGGTAACAGTACCAAATATATTGATCCATTTCTGGAGGCAGTGGAGTAACGGCAACATCTGAAGTGGACATTTAGATGAATGGGAAAACTTCAGAAAGACAACAATTGATTTTCTGACATCCAGCAGCAAGATCAGTGTAATAGAAATCGCTTTACAATGTTTTCAGTTTGCTTCATCTGCACCCCCAAAGTAACGCATAGACAATTAACGATGTCCTCCACTCATTATCCAACTTCTTTCACACTTTTGCTGATGATTCCATCTATTAGGTAGCAAACACACTGTGCACACAGGCTTCTTTCTTCTGGCAATGTAAATGATTGAATCACTAAATTGTGATCTCTTCCATGGCTTTAAATATGTCTTTCAATCTGCTTATCTTGCATCCTTGCAACATTAAAACCACTGCACAGGGTCATAGTTGCAAGACGTGTTACAGGATGTGTTTCACTACTAACTTGTAAGTATTGACTAGCCTTTCTTCATTTGTGAAAATAACACTACAACGTGATTCCTCAACAGAGCTTCAACTGGGATGTAAGGTAATAGACTTGCCTTTAACAAAGTGCAGAATATGCTCTTGTGAACAGTCAGTGCATTTTGCCGGGTTTATAAACACATAGAAATAATTCCCTGTAATCAGATCACCTAACATTATGAAATTGGGTACAGAAGTAAGGTTATATCAAAATATGAAACTTGATAAATATACATACCAGGTGCAGTTGAATAGTTTATGCCTTATTCCCTTCACTCTACCCCCTACCCTACATATATAAAACACAAAGCAAGGTTAGGTTGAGTATAATCACTTTTGCCTTTGCAGTATTAAAATCGTGTTAATTGACTTTTCAATGGTGTTTCCTTGCAAAATTTGACCACACTTTGATAATCTGAAAATCTCTTTTGAGTTTGGGATATTTAATAATGAATCAGACATTTTATTGATATGGTAAATATGTTTTATTTCAGAGCTGCACTTTAGAGTGTGATGGTAAATTGCCTTCAGAAAAGGCTTGGGAGATGTGCAGGCAGGTTGTGCAGATCAACATGGCACAGGATAAAGGTCAAGGTTCTCAAGAAAACGATGGAGAAAATGAAGAACAACACATCCTGTTGGCCAAAAAGTATGGTGGCTTCATGAAACGCTATGGAGGCTTTATGAAAAAAGCAGACAATGTTGACATTTACAAAACAGACGCAGATGATGAAAATAATGGAAGAGAGATACTGACCAAAAGGTATGGAGGGTTTATGAAGAAGGATCAGGAGAACGCTTCTCCGATAGATTCGGCTGACGTCCTGAGAGAGCTCCTTAACTTAGGTGATCTCAGTGAGCATAACCGTTATTTGGAACGCAGTGACTCTGACAGGGCCGGTGAGATTCTGAAACGGTATGGGGGATTCATGAGGGGTTTCAAGAGAAGTCCCGAAACAGAAGCTCCAGCAGAATTGCAAAAGAGATATGGAGGCTTCATGAGAAGAGTTGGTAAGCCAGACTGGAGGCTGGACTACCAGAAAAGATATGGTGGATTTATGAAACGTTGGAATGATGCTCTTGTCCCTTCTGATGAAGATGGGGAAATTTATTCCAAAGAGGTCCCTGAGCTTGAAAAGAGATATGGCGGATTTATGAGAGTTTAGATGCACAATCAGAAAGACTGCCTCTGGTCTCATAACTAAATGTTTGTGTTGCTTGGAATGTACAGGTGTTTTTTTTACTGTCTAGTTTATTAAGAACAGGCAATCTGTAATGCACATGTTACTTGCAAATTGTGTTGCCCTTTGTTGAGTTGAAATGTTAATGATTTGCTTTCTCTGTATTTTCTTCTCAGAGTGTAATTTGTTTTGTGGTTTATTTTCATTAAATGTAAAACAATTAAAAAAAACTTACTGCCTAGTTGTACATATTCCAATAAACATAACCGCAAAATGAAATTTAATGTTTTGTGTTTTTCATAATATTTTGGCTTTTGTACTTTAGGCCAAATCAGTTGGATTTTCTTTTGCAGTATTATCCCACAATTCAATCTCTTTCTTGCTATATGATACATTAATCATTGTGGCACACAAATTAAACACACTTTGCTGTTTACTCCCTCACCGCCATCATTCGCAAACTCAAACCCACCATCTGCTCCCTCAATCCCATCCCCACCTCTCTCCTCATCTCCCAGCTCCACCTTCTGGGCCCCACTCCTGTCCGATGTCACCAACCACTCCTTGTCCACCGGTTCAGTTCCCACCCCCCTAAAAACAGCCATCATCACCCCCTTCCTGAAAAAAGCTTCCCTGGACCCATCCCTCCTCTCCAGCTACCGCCTCATCTCTAACTTCCCATTCCTCTCCAAGATCCTGGAACGAGTCATTGCGTCCCAGCTCCACTCCTTTCTTTCTCGCCATTCCCTCTTAGAACCCCTCCAATCCGGCTTCTGCGCTGCACACGGCACGGAAACAGCCCTGGTCAAAGTCACTAATGACATTCTGAACATCTGTGATTAGGGCTCCCTCTGCCTCCTTGTCATTCTCGACCTCTCTGCTGCCTTCGACACTGTCTACCACTCCATCCTTATACGCAACCTTTCCTTTTTCTTAATCTTTACGGATCTGTCTTTGCCTGGTTCGAATCCTATTTCTCTCACAATCTCCACTCTGCCTCCAAATTCTGGAATTCCATCTCCCAATCACTCCGCTTCACCCCTCCTTAGCCTCCTTCAAGTCCCGCCTCAAGACCCTCCTCTTGGACAATGCCATCCATCATCCCCCTTCCCCTCCCCTCCCTTCTCCCTCCCTGACCCCAGCTCGGGTCTGAAATGCTGTACTCTGTCCAGGGCGTTGATACGTCCTCCCAACGTGAAAGGCGCTATACAAATGTAATCTTGTTCTAACAACAACAATAAAATTACATTTCAATAGCACTTTCACATTGGGAGGACGTCCCAAGGTGCTGGACAGACGAGTTACGGATCCGAACTAGGGGTCGGGGTGGTGGAGGGTGGAGGGCAACAACAACAACAACAACTTGGAATTATATAGCGCCCCCAACACCGGACAGCGTCTCAGAGCGCTTTACAGTAACGGATCCCGGGGCTGAGCCAGGGGGAGGGGGAGGAAGGTGACCAAAGACGCGGTCAAAGAGAAAGGTCTTCAGCAGAGACCTGAAAATAGGAAGAGAGTGAGGAAGGGAGTTCCAGCTCGGGGCATATTGGCTGAAGCTGACATATTGGCACGGCCGCCGAGGGTGGAGCGGAGAACTTGGGCGACGAGGAGGAGACCAGACCCGGAAGAACGAAAGCAACGGGTACAGTTTTGAGGAGATAGAAGGTCAGAGAAGTAGGGGGTGCAGAGAAGTGCAGGGATTTAAATACAAGGGTGAGGATCTTGAAGTCGATCCTCTCTGGGACAGGCAGCCAGTGCAGGGGGTGAAGCAGGGAGATCAAAAGCACAGTCGAAGAGGAGGGTCTTGGGATGGGTCTTGAAGGTGGCGAGGGAGGGGACGAGATGGAGGGTCTGCGGGATGGAGTTCCAGAGGGTGGGTGCAGAGTGGCGGAAGGCCCGTCTGCCAATAGTGGGGCAAGTAAGGCGAGGGACGTGAAGCAGGCCAGAGCCCGCTGAGCGGAGGGAGTGAACAGGATGGTAGTGGGTTAGGAGGTCGGAGAGGTAAGGGGGAGCAAGACCATGGAGGGCTCTGAAGGTAAGGACCAGGATCTTGAACTGTATCATCTGTGGGATGGGAAGCCAGTGGAGTCGGGCAAGGATGGGGGTGATAGGGTCGTGGAGCCTAGTGCAGGAGAAGACACAGGGCTGCAGAGTTCTAGATGATCTGTTGGGGGGAGTTGGGGATGCTGACAAGCAATGAGTTTGCATAGTCGAGCCTCGATGTAATGAAGGTTAAAACAAGCAACTAAACTGTTAGGTTTTTTGCGGTTATAGCTTAACGTGCACCAATTCTACTTAGGGAAAAAAGACATGGAATGGAAATAAACTTTAAAAGATAATGCTTTCCAAAGAGCTGAGGATTAGCAGGAAGATTACAAGGGGAAGTTCACTGAAAGAGGTCCATCATCTCATTTAACCTTCCAGAATACCAATCCTACAGCATTCAGTTCTAAAAGTTCTCTTTATAATAACTCAGTTCTGGCCTCAGAGTCCACAGTCTCTTTCTATATAATTTAGAAAAGTAATTACCTTGCATTAAATCTATGAATTCAAGTCATTTATATATTAATAGGAACAACAACTTGCATTTACATCGGGCACGTCATGCAGGTAGCGTCTCCGAGTGTTTAATGACAGTGTGGTTTGATGCCATGAGGCACCTCAATCAATAACTCCCCCCCACCTTGTCCACACTACTGGCTATCCTGTGGAGTCCTGTAGCTCCATATGGGTACGATCTAGTAGCCATCACTGAAATATGGTTACAAGGAGAACTAGGGTGGGAGTTAAATATTCCAGGGTTCTCCGTTTACAGGAAAGATAGGCACTGTGGGAAAAGAGGTGGGGGGGGGGGTAGCCCTGTTAATTAGGGATGAAATAAAAGCAGTGGAGAGGAAGGATCTGAAATCCGATGACCAGGAGGTCGAGACAATATGGGTGGAAACAAAAAACAATAAAGGGCAGAAAATATTAATGGGAGTGGTTTATAGACCCCCAAACAGCGATCACAATATAGCACAGGGTATCAATCAAGAAATCAGTGGAGCATGTAGGAAATGTAAAGCGATAATAGTGGGTGATTTCAATCTCCACATAGATTGGGAAAACCAAATCGGCAAAAGTAGGTCAGAAGAGTTCATTGAGTGTATGAGAGATAACTTTCTAGAGCAGCATGCCGAGGAACCACCTAGGGGACAGGCCATCCTAGACCTTGTTTTGTGTAACGAAACAGGGCTAGTTGGCAGTGTAGATATTAAGAATCCTCTGGGGCAGAGTGATCACAATATGATTGAATTCTGCATTAAGTTAGAGAGGAATATAGTTAAATCCGAGGCAAGTATTCTGAATTTAAATAGGGCTAGTTTTGTAGGTATGAGGAAAGATTTAGGTAAAATAGACTGGAGAATAAGATTAAGAGGTAAAAATGTAGACCAACAGTGGCAAATATTTAAGGATGTAGTGCAAAATTCTCAGCGGTCGCATATTCCCTTGCGGAATAAGAGTACCACAGGGAAAGCAATTCATCCGTGGCTAACTAGAGCAGTTAGGGAAAGCATCAAATTAAAAGAAAAGGCTTATAAAACTGCCAAGAAAAGCGGCAAATCTGAAGATTGGGAGAGTTTTAGAAACCAGCAAAATAAAACTAAAAAACTCATTAAGAGCGAGAAAAAGGAGTATGAGGGTAAGCTAGCTAGGAACATTAAGTCTGATTGTAAAAGTTTTTACAAATATATTAAGAGGAATAGGCTAGTGAGGGTAAATGTAGGTCCACTTCAGTCAGAGACAGGAGAAGTTGTAATGGGGGACAAGGACATGGCAGAGTCCCTAAATGGGTACTTTGCATCTGTCTTCACCCTAGAAGACACAACAAGTCTGCCAACAATAGAGATGCACCAAGGGGATAAGGACAGGGAGCAACTTAGGGAAATTTTCATTAGTAGAGAATTGGTGCTAGGGAAACTGTTAGCACTAAAAAGTGACAAATCCCCTGGTCCGGATGGCTTGCATCCCGGGGTTTTAAAAGAGGTAGCTTATGAGATAGTGGAGGCCTTATGTCTGATCTTCCAAAATTTCTTGGATTCTGGAACAGTCCCCATGGATTGGAAGATTGCAAATGTCACACCACTACTTAAAAAAGGTGGAAAGGAAAAGTTAGGGAACTATAGGCCAGTTAGTCTCACATCAGTGATAGAAAAATTTTAGAATCGTTGATTAAGGATGTGGTAGTGCGGTATTTAGGGGAGCACAATATAATTAGGCCAAGTCAACATGGCTTTACAAAAGGGAAGTCATGTTTGACAAATCTCATAGAGTTTTTTGAGGATATTTCCAGTAAACTAGATAAGGGTGAATCAGTGGATGTGGTCTATTTGGACTTCCAGAAGGCATTCGATAAGGTGCCGCATAAAAGGTTAGTCCAAAAGATAAGGGCCCATGGAATTGGGGGAGCATATTAACATGGATTGGGGAATGGTTAACGGGTAGGAAACAAAGAGTAGGGATAAACGGGTCCTTTTCAGATTGGCGGGATGTGACCAGTGGAGTGCCACAAGGATCAGTCCTTGGGCCTCAGCTATTTACCATCTACATCAACGATCTAGATGAGGACATCGAAGTTAATATATCTAAAGTCGCGGATGACACAAAACTAGGAGGAAGTGTCAACACAGAGGATGACATTAAACAAATGCAGCGAGACAATCAGGTTAGGTGATTGGGCAGGTAGGTGGCAGATGAAGTATAATGTAGGGAAGTGCAAAGTCATCCACCTAGGTAGCAAAAACAGTAGAGAAGGGGAGAGATTGGAATGTGTTAGCGTCCAGAGGGACTTGGGTGTCCTTGTACACCAATCACAGAAAGTTAGTCTGCAGGTGCAGCAGCAATTAGGAAGGCGAACGGTATGTTAGCATTCATTATGAAAGGATTAGAGTATAAGAGTAGGGAAGTCTTGCTGCAACTGTATAGGGCCCTGGTGAGACCACACCTGGAATATTGTGTCCAGTTTTGGTCTCCTTATTTAAGGAAGGATGTACTTGCCTTGGAGGGGGTGCAGCGTAGATTTACTAGGTTAGTACCAGGGATGAAGGGGATGAGTTACGAGGATAGGCTGACCAATTTGGGCCTATATTCTCTAGAATATAGAAGAATTAGAGGGGATCTTATAGAAACCTATAAGATCATCAAAGGGCATGATAGAGTAGATAGTGGGAGATTGTTTCCCCTGGTTGGAGAAACTAAAACCAGGGGTCACAACCTTAAAATCAGAGGCCAGCCCTTTCGCACTGAGTTGAGGAAAAACTTCTTCACTTAAAGGGTAGTGAATGTATGGAACTCACTACCCCAAAGGCTGTTGACGCTCAGTCCTTGAACATATTCAAGACTGAGATAGATAGATTTCTTATTGCAAAAGGGATTAAGGGATATGGGGATAAGGCAGGGTTAGGTTATTAGCTGGAGTTAGATTAGATCATCCATGATTGAATGGCAGGGCAGGCTCGAAGGGCCGAATGGCCTACTCCTGCTCCGACATGTTATGTTATGTTATCTCAGCAGTTACGGCACTCGCTTCGCAAGTAAGAGACCTGGGTTTGATTCCTGGCAGGGCGAAATGTTGGGTAAGTTTCATTACTCCACACGCCTCTGTTTACCTAGCAGTAATTAGGAACCCGGTTAGTTGATTGGCGGATCGTTTTTCCAGGGGTAATAATTCCTTAATAAAATAATAAATTGGTCGCTTCAATCCACGACTGTTTGTTGGACACTGCTGTGCGTAATTGCCTGCCGCGTTTCACCCACAAAATAGTGTAAAAATACACTTTACAGTATATTCGGTGAAGTGCTTCGAGGTGTCTCGAAGATGTGATAAGGCGCTATATCAAATGCGAGGATTATTATTATTATTATCTAATTTTTTTGCTTTATTGGTTATCCACATGTATTTCTTATCCTTGATAAACACTATGATTCATGCTAACAAGTGTATACAGTGCAATATTTTGGGCCTATCTGGAATCTTTGTGTCACCAATGTCAAAATTCTGAAATTACATGACGTGTCTTGAACGAGTGAGAGTCCTGGGTTCGATTCCCATGATGGGCGAAACGTTGTGCAACTTTCCTTACTCTACATTGCCTGTTTACCCAGCAGTAAGTAGGAGCTTGATTGTTAGTCGAGTGGCGGATTGCTTTTCCGGGGGTAATAATTCCATCAAAATAAATAAAATAACTTGGTCACTCAATCCACAACTGTTTGTGGGACACTGCGATGTGCAATTGGCTGCTGTGTTTCACCCACAAAATATACAGTCAATTTACTTTACGATATATTCTGTGAAGCGCTTTGGGACGTCCTCCCGACGTGAAAAGCGCTATATCAAATGCAAGGATTATTATTATTATTCTGTGAAACGCTTTGCAATAGTGAAAAAATGTCACAGCTTCATACACATTAACAATAATAACGATTGTTTGATACAGTGGGTTGTTATATTTGTACTCAATGTTTCATAGATGAGATTGAAGCCATCCTGAGAACGATAAGCTCTCAAGAAATCGCATGAGTAGGATTCCAAGGCTTGAACAATTTATCGATAATGATTGAAATCAGGGACATATTGTCTGCTTAACGCACATCTGGCCTGCATTATACAGACAGCTGGAGTTCATGGGACAAAATTTGGTTGAATTTTTCATGAGATTTTGAGCTGAGAACACAAGTGTTTCAGGAGATTGTAAACGAGCAAATTAGTCTGTTTATTCCTTCCGTGCGCAAGTTACATCCTTAAAAAAGCAAACCGCTTCCCGCCAGTTTTGCACCCGTCGACTCAAGTTTTGTAATCACCATTTAGTAATACTTATCCTTACATTTCGCAGAGCATCTCGCACGTCAGGCGAAAACCTCCAAGCGTTCCACAAGGTAAAGCGTAGGAAAGTGTGTCATTGGAGGGCGCATTTACCCACCCGCGAGGTGTTCGTTTAAGCCCAATTTCACTAATTTTCCCCCCCGTTCATGTAAAAGTAGGGATTTTGCACCTTCTGCAATACGCTTCTTAAACCTAGAGGTGGCACTCACCGAAAAAAACATCACAGGAACTGGACTGGGTCCATACGCCCAAATATGCAAAAACCAGAGGGTGTGTGAAAACCACAGGGCAAGAAAGTCAAACCGAGAGTGGGAGGAGGGGATCGGATTGTGCAAGTGGTTGTCTAAGGCCAAAGGCCGTTGTTGTCGGGGGGGGTTTGTTGTTTTTTTTGGTGCCACATCCTCAGTTCGAGCCCAGAGTCCAAGCTGCAGAAGCAACAGCTGTGTGTGTGCCGGGGAGCAGGAGTGAGGTGGTTGGGAGTGAGGTGGTTGGGAGTGAGTGAGTGAGTGAGTGAGGACTGGAAGTACCTGCGCTCAGAGTCTGGAGAGCATGAATTTCCTTGTGGAGACGCTGCGGGTTCTGCTGCTCTCTGTGTACTACGCTCTGGAAGCGCTGGTGCGGCTGGTGGTGCCGCCGCGGAGGAAGAGTGTGCGGGGGGAGATCGTGCTGGTGACCGGGGCCGGCAGCGGCATTGGTCGGCTGCTCAGTCTGCACTTTGCCCGCCTGGGCTCCACGCTGGTGCTGTGGGACATCAACAAGGAGGGCAACGAGGAGAGCGGGCGGCTGTCCCGGGAGCAGGGAGCCCCCAGGGTCTACACCTACCTGTGTGACTGCAGCCAGAGGGCTGATGTGTACAGAGTAGCCGACCAGGTGAGGCAGTCAGCAAAACTCACTCCCTCTCTCCTTTATAATAGTCATAATCCTTGCATTGGATATGCACCCAACCATAATAATAATAATAATCCTTGCATTTGATATAGCGCTTTTCACGTCGGGAGGACATCCCAAAGCGCTTCACAGAATATACTGTAAAGTGAATTGACTGTATATTTGTGGGCGAACGCGGCAGCCAATTGCACACAGCAATGTCCCACTAACAGTCGTAGATTGAAAATGACCAATTTATTATTGTTTTTGGTTTTGGAGGGATTATTATTAGGCTCTGTGTGGAGTAAGGAAACTTGCCCAAGGTTTCGCCCTCTGCCTGGAATTGAACTCAGGTCTCTCGCTTGCAAAGCGAGTGCTCTAACCACTGAGCTACAGGACTCCACAAGTCTGCTTGCCTGCTTTCTACACCCAACCATTGCCTGCTTTCTACACCCAACCATTGCCTGCTTTCTACACCCAACCATTGCCTGCTTTCTACACCCAACCATTGCCTGCTTTCTACACCCAACCATTGCCTGCTTTCTACACACAACTGTTGCTTGCAGCTTTCGTTGGAAAATTGTGAATGTCACTCCTAACCAGAAAACTACAGAGCCGCCAACTTAACCACAGTGATAGGGAAAATACTGGAATCCCATCATCAGGGATAGAGTGACTGAACACTTGGACAGGTATGATCCAGTCAAAGAGAGTCAGCATGGGTTTGTGAAGGGTAGGCTGTGTCTGGCTAAACTAGTTAAATTTTTTGAGGAAGTCACTAAAATGGTGGGTAAGAGAGTGTCTATGGATCTTGTTTATTTGGACTTTCAGAAGGCGTTTGATAAGGTTCCACACAAAAGATTGTTAGCGAAAATGGAAGGGCATGGAGTCAAAGGTAACCTGGTGACCTGGCTTAGTAATTGGTTGGGAGGCAGGAAACTGAGAGTAGAGATAAAGGGAGTGTTCTGGGATTGGTGGGATAATAATAATAATCCTTGCATTTGATATAGCGCTTTTCACCTCGGGAGGACGTCCCAAAGCGCTTCACAGAACACACTGTAAAGTGAATTGACTGTATATTTGTGGGCGAACACGGCAGCCAATTGCGCACAGCAATGTCCCACAAACAGTCGTAGATTGAAAATGACCAATTTATTATTGTTTTTGGTTTTGGAGGGATTATTATTAGGCGTGTGGAGTAAGGAAACTTGCCCAAGGTTTCGCCCTCTGCCTGGAATTGAACTCGCAAAGCGAGTGCTCTAACCACTGAGCTACAGGACTCCACGGGGGGCTGTACTGGGACCCCAGCTATTTGCCATGTATATAAATGACTTGGATGAAGGAATAGAAAGTATAATTTCCAAGTTTAACTTTCTCTGCTCCAAGAAGAATAATCCCAGTTTTTCTAGCTCTCCACATAACCAATGTCCCTGATACCATTCTCGTAAATCTTCAAGGCCTTGATATCCTTCCAAAGCGTGGTGCCCAGAATTGAACACAATACTCCAGCTGAGGCCTAACCAGTGACTTATAAAGATTTAGCAGAACTTCCTTGCTAGCGTTCCTAACACGCCACCCTTATAACCTTGAACAAGTTGATACAAAGCCAACTATGTATCAGCATTACTGCAAGTCAGTACATTCTATAGTACACAATAATAAATTGGTCATTTTCAATCAACGACTGTTCGTGGGACTCTGATGTGCGCAATTGGCTGCCGCGTTTCGCCCGCAAACATACGGTCAATTCACTTCACAGTCTATTCTGTGAAGTGCTTTGAGACATCGAGAAGACGTGAAAAGCACTATATCAAATGCAAGGATTATTATTATATTACACCCTTAAATGCCTGCTACGAAAAGAATTAAACGCCAAACATCTGTTTTACTTGATTTTCAGGTTAAGCATGATACCCGCCTTCTAAACCATCCCACTTCAACCCAGGCAATAAGTTTACATTTGTTCCAGCTCATTTATTTTACACCAGCTGTATAAACTAACAGAACATACCTATTACATCTAAACTTTGCACTTAACAAAAAGTAAAACCACTGGCCTATCACCCTACTGTAGTTATTTATTGCTATCCAAGCCATTTTGCTTCAAGTCATAATCCAAGCTGTGTGTGCTGAATTGTTGGAGGTGCCATCCTTCAGATGAGGCGATAAACCTAGGTCAGGAGGGCATTAAAGATCCCATGGCACTATTCGTAAAGAGAAGGGGTTTGTCCTGGTGATCTGGTCAACGATTCCCCAAATAAAATTGGTCACTCACTCCATTGCTGCGTGTAACTGGCATTTACGCTTAACAAAAAGTAAAACCATTGACCTACCACTCTACAGTACATTTCCACTGTTTCGCCTCTCCCTTGCCTACCAGTAGGGACATTGCTGTGTTCAAATTGGTTGTGTTCTCTTACAAATATAGTCATTTTACTCACAGTAAATGCAGTGAAGTGATTTGAGTCGTTTTTGGTGATGTGTTAAGGTACGTTTATCAAATGCAGGGATTATTATCTTCAGCTATGTTAACTTTGTCAAAAAAAAACTGCCTTAAACTTTTCAAAAGAACCTAAACTTTATATTGTGTATAATGTACAGTAAACTCTCCTCAAAAACATAATCTTGTTGAATACTTTTGCTGTTTGCATAGCCAGTAACTTACAGTAATGTTTATTCAGTGACCTGCATTATTTGCATAAACGATCTTTGTTCATTGATATTACACTGGACATTGATTCTGAGTCCAAGTCAGCATTTAAAAGATAATTGGATAAACACTTCAAGCAAAATAATCTAAAAGGTTATGGGGGAAAGGAAAGGGATTAGAGAAGATAACAGAGAATTAGCAGCAACACAGCAATGACGAAGTATGAGAGAAGTCACTCATTAAATGAAAGTTGGTTTACTTAAATTTAATTTACTTTTTATATTTTCTCAGACAATCCTTATTTTATCTAAACAGATGTGGCATCCGGAAAATTACACAAGTCTCTGGCATTGGATGCTCTTGTAAACAGTGTGTGCTGTATTCTTTATGTTTGTACTAAGCCCTTTATATTTGTACTAGTGTCAACTCTCCCACTGGAGCTGTTGAACTCTTTTTCTTTAAAATGTAGTGTGTCCAATTACTTTTCTAACTTTCTCCCCACAAGCGTATATCTCACTGCTCGTCATCTGGCCTATCTCTGGCTGGGGTGGTGTTCCATGGGAGATTGTTGGTCTCCTTGTAATTGTTCACTGAGCTATTGTGAAATCTTGACTAATTAAGCAATGTCTGGTCCTTGAGCAAAGAAGGCTGCTTTTCTCCGCCTCCAGCTCTCCCCCATTGCAGCCAGATCTTTCCTTCATGCCTTTGTCACCTCTCGACTTAATTCTTTAGTCCTGTGCTTGTTGGGTTTTTTAGCTTGATCCTCTAATCTTATCCAGAACTCTGCAGCCCATATTCTCTCTCAGGCTCTAGGCTCCACAAGCTTATCACCCCCATGCTTGCCAGATTCCACTGGCCCTCTGTTCCTTAGCAGATTGATTTAAACCCTCACCCTGACTTTCACATGTTTCCTTGCCCTGCCCTATTTCTGCAATTTTATCCAATCCAATTCTCCTCCCTCCACCTCCACAAACTCAGGCCTACTGCATGTTGCATTCACAACTCCCCACCCCCATTTTTGATAGCTTTCAGCCAAGTGCCACCGCTCCCTGGAACGGAGTCTCAAACCTTCCCTGTTTCACCCACTCCCTCATTGTTTTCAAAAGCCTACTAAATACCTACCTCTTAATCTTGCTTTTGGTCATTTCTCTCATCCATGCTTTATTTTCCATCTTGTTCCTGTTTGCACTCATTTGTAAATCACATTGAGATGTTATATTTTGTAAACCATATTTTAAAAAAATTGAACTTACCACAATTCCTGATGCTGGTAGCACTGGAGAAGCTTGTTGGATTAATTTCTCTGAGGAGTGTATCTGTTTTAGGATTTTGTTATTCTTGCTCAGCTTGTTTCTGAACTCAAGTCAGGGCAATCTGGCCAGGGACACAATACCACATCCAGGGATATTCCACAGAAATTGGGGACATGTGGTATTACACTATCAGTGGAAGTTATTGCAAACTCTTGCTTCAATAACCATTTGTTATAAGGCTTTCCACATTTCAAACAACTCTCATTGTGAAAGAAATACTCCCAACTTCATCCCTTTTACTTTCATGGGGTTTCATTATTAGAACTCTTGCCTTTCCTCATAACTCCAGTTGTAAGTTAGTTACTGTGTATATGCAGGGCAGAATGGCATTGTAAAATCACTGTTAATGATTTAAAATTCAAAAGACAATTGCACAATTGTAATACAGAGGGAGGGTTATTTCATTGATCAGTCATAAATAAACAAATTCCTTTGTACAAAATCACCAAACGTAAATGTATGCATCTCTCTCTGACTTCTCTTTGTCTTTCACTCTTACTTTCTCTGACTTTCTCTCTCTTCCTGTCTCTAACCCAACTTTATACACTGTTACACTGTACATGTAACAACATACTTGTGTTCTGCATTTCACATCTGATACTGTCTTGGAACTCCTCAGGGTTAGTGTAGAACATCAAAGCGAGAGGTGGTGAGAAGGAGATGAATGAAGGGGATGGGGAGCAGACAGCGAGAGTTCCTTGGAGCTGAATTGGCCCCAATGTGACGTGTTTGGCAATGGAATGTCATAATCAAAGGAATCCTCTGTGGCAGTCTTGGTTGTCTAGTTCCTGAGCCAGGCAGGTCCACAATAATCCAGGGCCAGCCTGGTTCATTAGCAGGACTTGGAAAGACAGACCAGTCCCTGGGGCAGAGATTCTACTCACTCAGTTCCTGTTAACCCCACAGCAGACTCTTGCTTCAACAGCCATAACAGGTAGGGTGGTCCCAGCTAGACAAGCAATGGGAAAGCTTGCCAGGCAGTACTCTCAATGGCAAGATCATGAAATTAATGAGCATTTTCGCCACTTTTTTATTATAAGGTGAAGCGAGAAGTTGGAGATGTCAGTATCCTGATAAACAATGCAGGTATTGTCTCTGGAAAGAAATTCATGGATGTGCCAGACAACTTGCTGGAGAAAACTTTGGAGGTGAACACTCTGGCCCATTTCTGGGTAAGTACAGTACTCTACTGCCAGTTTTTAGATGATGTGAACCAGAGATCAGTAATTTTATTTAATGAATGTATCTAGCCAATAAATAATTGCATTGAAAATATTAAGGTGATAAACTACCTGGGTTCATCTCAGAATAAAATTAGGTGTCTGCCTGGCTCAGTTGGTCACACCTCTGAGTTTGAAGGTTCTGGGTTGAAACCCCATTTTGGGTCTTTGAACTCATAATCTAGGCTGCCTTTCCAATTCAGTGCTTGGGGTTCTTTGCATTATCAGAGTTTCTATTATATGGAGTCAAGGAATACACTTCTGTCTCTCTACTCCCGGTTGGTATGTGTTGATACTCAAATGTGCAGTATCACTAGAGCAGTGTTCTCCAATAGAATTTGTTGACTAGCTGACACTGTGTGTGACTACACCAACACTGTTTTAGACACATGCACTAATTTTAGTAGAAAACATCTTACATACACTCACACAATACAGGTAAATTGTACTTCACATATACATCTACCATCATTCAGGGTGAAACTTTGCTGTCTTTGTCTCTCGCCAAAGTTTGGAATTCTTTGGAAGTTTTGCTCTTCTCTTTATTTTTCTTTTGTGAGATGTACCAGACCCACCCTTGCTCTCCATGCAGAGTGTGGTTGGATGCTGTTTGCCATTGGCCATGACGTGCCGTGTTGGAGCTGCTTGTTATTGGCTGGGCTGGCTTTCTTCTGCTGGCCTGGAGACGTTTTTCCAATTGGTCAAGCTCCCCTCTCCATACAATATTGCTGGGGCTTCCATGCTGTTGAAATCTGATGTTTTCACCTTTGTTACACACCAATAAGCAGTAACCAATCAAGTAAATACAAAATAAAATGTAAAATTAACTTTCACATCTGGAGGACTTCCGAAGGCGCTGGACACACCTTGGGATGTTTGTTAAAGCACACACAACGTTCAAAAAACACTCTCACACTCTGCTTTTTGTCTTACCTTTTTCCCAACAAGCACAGAAAAAGGTGAAAGTGCACAGTATTGAGATCACGTACTCAATGACTGTGTCGATGACTCAGTTTTTTTTACTAATCAAAAATACAATTTTGTCACACATGGATTCCCAATTTGCCTCATGTGGCTGGTGATTCAGGTATTGGACAACTCTATGTTAGTGCATACAGCATTCTGGTTGAGTTTGTGAAATATAGAACTAGAAAGTCCAATGAGGAAACATTGGGGAGAGCATTGGAGAAGTCAACCTTGGAGGAGCCAAAACTAAACCTGTCTTAGTGTTTCATAACTTCTTCCAAATTTAGCTAGGTTTATCTTCTTGCCTACTTTGTTCAGTCTTGATGCTGTAGTGTACCATGAGTAATAACTTTTAAAGTACCTGTAATGATTTTTTTCACCATAATTACTTGTTATTTGGTGGCAGAGGGTCAATTGAAATACAGAATTGTATGCTATTTTTAAGCTTTGAGGATGTGCACACATCTTGCTGATTGACTCACAACATGTGCACTCATAGATGATATCTGTAATGGTGCATAGATTACCCCAGCATGATGCTGAGGCAGCATACATGTAATATGTACATGCAATGTGCTTCAGGGTGCATTCTTAGTACACTCGGGTGTTACCTGGTGCCAGAATTCATATTGCTATGATAAAAAGCACCACTACTATCACTGAAGAGCAGGTTATTCTGCCTCCCCCTCCAATTATCCCTTTTAATCCTTGACCCAATTAACTTTCTTGAAGCAATGGAACATTATTTTCTTTCTTCCCCCTCCAAACCCAAACCATTTTCAGACCCATTGCAATTTAGATTTTCCTTTGTTTTCCTGACAATGCAGACACACATAGACTCCAACGTCTCCTGCTACACAAGTAACACAATGTTTTCCATTCTCTGTTCTTCTCGCCAGCTGGATCATAACAGATCGGTTGGTGCCAATAAGCAATACATTTGGAAAGTGTTACTTTGTGAACATCCAATTTACACAAGGGAACAGGCAGGGACGAACATGGCTGTTTTAAGAATATATATATATATATATAATTTGCTTAAAGCAAACTCTTGTGGTTTTAATTGTCATAATTTTACATTTCATTGATGACCTTGTTGTGATCATCAGACCTTTTAAAATTTCAAAGCGACTCCCGATGGATATTTACTCAGTATGTTTACTCAGTAATGCACCATAAACTCAACAATACAAATGAAATATCAGCTGCAAATGCAACAAGAACAACAAATTACATTTGTATAGCTCCTTTCACGTTGGGAGGATGTCCCAAGGTGCTGGACAGTCAGGGTTTTGGAAAGATTATAACACATCGCAGAAGACTTGTCGGATGGAAAAACATCTCTAATGCACTAATGAGGTTTTATAACGTTTTTTATAACGAGTATAGAAGAGTGAAAATACTGTACCCTTGGTTAAGTTAAAGAGTAATTTTGAGGATTAACTGTTTTTAGACCTACAAAGCATTCCTGCCTGCAATGATCGCCAGCAACCATGGCCACCTGGTCTCCATTGCCAGCTCTGCGGGAATGATTGGAGTCAACGGCTTGGCAGGTAGGACTCGGCTCTGTAATCTGCTATCCTTTTGAGCATTTTCATCATTTCAGGTTGAATATCACAAGAGGGAAGCATGTGTCTGTTTAGCACCAAACTGCTCATATTTTAGGTGTTTTTCAACCTATTTTGTCTGTCACATGTGTTTAAAGTTAGATTTTTTTGGGTTGGGATTTTGTGCATTTGGGTGAGTGACAGACACACACACACATACACTCAAAATCATGTTCAAGAATAAACAGAATAACTTGCTCTTTAGTAATAGTAGCATTTATTCACATTTAATATTACATAGGGCTCTGTCCTTGCTCCCCTCCTCTTCAATACCTATATGCTCCCTCTTGGTGACATCATTCGCAAACATGGGTTCAACTTCCACATGTATGCGGATGACGCCTCTCTGCCTCAACCCTTGACTCCAGAACCGCTGCTGTCCTGACAGAATGTCTGTCACACATCAAATCCTGGATGTGAGCTAATTTTCTACAGTTGAATGTCAACAAGACCGAGACTCTCTTGATTGGCTCCTGTCAGTGCCTCCTCACCTCAGGCACTGACAGCATCACCATTCATAGTTGCAAACTCCACCTTATTAAGCCAGTTCGGAACCTTGGGGTCTTGTTTGACCCTCAACTATCCTTTATTATTATATAATAATAATAATAATCCTTGCATTTGGTATAGCGCTTTTCATGTCTTCTAGACATCACAAAGCGCCTCACGGAATATACTGTAAAGTGAATTGACTGTATATTTGTGGGCGAAACGCGGCAGCCAATTACGCACAGCAGTGTCGCACAAACAGTTGTGTACTGAGTGACCAAATTATTATTTTTTTTGTTTGGTATTATTATCATCCCCAGAAAAGCGATCCGCCAATCGAATAACGACCAGGTTCCTACTTACTGCTCAGTAAACCGGGGCGTGTGGAGTAAGGAAACTTGCACAACATTTTGCATTGCTGGGAATAGAACCCAGGTCTCTCACTTGCGAGGCGAGTGCTCTAACCACTGAGCTACAAGACTCCGATGCATTCAAATTCTTATTTTTATATTAAAATATGAATTTTATATATGACCTTGTATCGGAATTTGAAAGAAAAAAAACACTTGAAAGCGATTCTAGATAGTATTAGGCCAAGCTTTACAACTTACAAATGATTGCTCAGGCAATTTGGCACCATGTTCTTTCCAATCCTGAAACATGCAAATTGTATTTTTAAATACCTTCCTAGCTATTAAGAACAATGTATTTTATTTACTTATGGGCTTTCATAATTTAAGAAGAACCTGAGCCAATCTGGGTATCAAAACAATTGAGAAATAGTGTATAAAGTCATCAGAACTTTAAGCTCACAGTCCAGGGCTGATACTCCATTGCTGAAATGCGGGAATGTTACCTGGGTTTGATTACTGGCAGGGCAAAACGTTGGACAAGTTTATTTACTCCACAAGCTTCTGTTTACCTAGCAGTAGGTAAGAACCCAGTTGTTAGTTGATTGGCGGATCGCTTTTCCGGGGGTAATAATTCCTTCAAAAATAAATAAAAATAACTTGGTCACTCAATCCATGACTGTTCATGAGACACTGCTGAATGCATTTGGCTGTCGCAGAGAAAATGACTTGAGAACCTGATGTTAATATATCCAGTGTGCATATCTTCTATAATGTGTGTTAGCATTTAAAAAAGATAAACTTGAATGCAATGTGCTCACATGCAAATGTGAATTAAACATTCTTGCCTGTATATTACTTTGATAGTTGACACAAAAATCAAAGTCCACGTATAGTCATTTCTGGCTATTCAGCACTTTGGCCTGGAGGATTGATGCTTGTTCATATATAACAAGAAATTCATCTGCTTTTGAGATATTACATTCAGGTTTACCTCTCAGGTGTTGATCTACAGGGAGGTGCAGTAAACATTAAAACAAACTGGAAATGTTACACAAATGCATTTGAAAGAGATAAACTACAGATTACAGCCTGGAATCCTGCCTCAGCATGAATCAATTAGTGTGAAATATAATGAAATTCACATTATGTTAATCTCTTTAAAATTTCCCTGAACAGCCGTATTCCTTTAGGTATTAAAACTGACTTTAGCCTTGATGAAACCGATTAGTGTGGGCTTGTTAGTGAACAATCATTGCCTTTCCACAGATTATTGTTCGAGCAAGTTTGCAGCACTTGGCTTTGCTGAGTCTATTGCCATGGAGCTACTTAAGTTGGGAAAGAATGGTATCAAGACCACAATTGCCTGCCCGTACTTCATAAACACTGGCATGTTTGATGGCTGCCAGACCAAGTAAGTAGAGAATTGATTTATTGGATGTGGAATCTGTAACTTAAACACTATTCTCTCAAAGCTTAATAATATATAAATGTACAGTATTTAAGTGTGAGACTTTAATGCTATGGCACTTTGAATCATTTTGCAGTGACATTTTCACAATACTACCAATTAATCGGAATTGCATCTGGTGAAAGTTGAAGCTTGTGGTGCACATGAGATGTAATTTTAAGTGGCAAGTGACAAGTGTTTTAAGACCTTTTATAACCATTAAAAGGTTTACATATTATTAAAATGTGAATCGACTCAAGTCCGAAACACTGATTGTCCAGCGCCTTTGGTTTCTGACCTAACTTTCAAAAGTCCCATGTAAAAAGCATTAGGTCTTGAATTAATCCTGAAACACCCTGCTTGGTATTCCTCTCGATAGTAACGCAGATTCATATATGTTATCCCCCACATTTCTCTCTGCCTACTTTCTGATCCATTTCAGAAGTTCAAGTTCACCCACCTTCATCCTTCTCCCATTCACGTGGTAAACTGATGTCCTCCTTGGCATTGTTTTGTTCTAAAATTTTGTGTTTTTCTAAGTACTTCATTTTTCACTACAATTAATTTAACAAGCAGAGATATTACACACATATATCTACATAATATATACATATATTATATACAGTGTATATTTGCAAGTAAGGATTTCAGCCTGGCTCAGTTGGTAGCACTCTCAGAAAATCTTGTGGATTCAAGCTTCCTGTTGGGATTTGACTATCCAGTCTTTGTTTCTACATCGCTATATTTCAGAGGTGCTGTTCTTCGAGCTAGACATTAACAACAACAACAAGATTACATTTGTATAACGCCTTTCACGTCGGGAGGACGTCTCAAGGCGCTGATTAACCCAAGACCCCAAGTCCTGTTCTTCACATGGATGTTAAAAGATCCCACAGCACTATTCGAAAGGAGAAGGCAACTTCTTCTGGTGTCCTGGCCAACAGTAGTCCAGATAAATTGGCCCTTCACCTCAGGATGCTTGTGGGACATTGCTGTGCACAAAATAGTAAAAACAATTGCTACAAGTAACTACTTACTGTTAAGGGCTTCAGTATATTGTGACATGATAAATGGCATTAATATAGCACCTCTCACGTATGATAATGCCTCACAAACACTTACAATGTATGTTCATTAAAATGCATGTCCAAAACATCCCTGAGCACAGGATTTTATCTATTAGAAAATAATCTGTACTCAATTTTTGTGCAGGTGGCCCCTTCTTCTTCCCATTTTAGATTCACATTACGCTTCCAAAAGGATTGTGGATGCCATCTTACGGGAGCAAGTGATACTTGTGATGCCACGTAGCCTATACATAGTGATCGCTTTAAAAAAGTAAGTCCAAGTCTTATCTTCGCTAGAGTTTAAATGTATTTGTTAGAGCATGAACTAATAAATCTGTCTTATTGCAATTGTTATTTAATACAGTAAATCTCACGTAAGTCATATCAGTTGGGACCATACATTTAATATAATTGATGCACAGTATGAGTTATGTCAAACTTGAATAGAATATAAACTCTTGAATCAGACTTGGGCAGACGTATGACTTCGGCGATTGTATGATTTATACAACAACAACAAGAAGATTACATTTATAAAGCGCCTTTCACGTCAGGAGGACGTCCCAAGGCGCTGCACAGTTGGGTCATGACCCGAGCAGGGGGGAAATGGTCAGGGTGAGGGGAGGGAAGGGAGGGAGCAAGGAGGGGGGAAATGGTCAGGGTGAGGGGAGGGAAGGGAGGGAGCGAGGAGGGGGAAGAGAGTCGAGAGGGGAGCTGAAGGCACGGTCAAAGAGAAAGATTTTGAGACCGGCCTTGAAGGAGGAAAGGGAGGAAGCAAGGCGAAGGCACTGGGGGATGGAGTTCCAGAGCCTGGGGGCTGAGAGGCTGAAGGCCCGACCACCGATGGTAGGGCGGTTGGGGCGGGGGACGTGGAGCAGACCAGAGCCAGAGGAACGGAGGGTACGGGCAGGTAGGTAGGGGGATAGTAGGTTGGAGAGGTAGGAGGGAGCAAGGCCGTGAATGGCCTTGTAGGTGAGGATGAGGATCTTGAAATCAATCCTCTGGGGGATGGGGAGCCAGTGGAGGCGAGCGAGGGTGGGAGTGATGTGGTCCCGAAGCCTGGTGCGGGACAGTACACGAGCTGCAGAGTTCTGAATGACCTGCAGCTTGTGGAGGGAGGTGGCGGGAAGGCCGGCGAGGAGAGAGTTCCCATAGTCCAGCCTTGAGGTGACAAAGGCGTGGACCAGGGTTTCAGCAGCGTGAGGGGTGAGGTAGTGCCGTAGTCTGGCGATGTTCCGGAGGTGATGGAAGGCGGTGCCAGTTGTGGTGCGGATGTGAGGGAGAAAGGACAGCTCAGGGTCGAACAAAACGCCGAGGTTCCTGACTGCCTTTGAGAGGTGGAGAGTGCAGCCTTGGATGCTGATGGTGTCAGCGCCTGAGGTGCGGAGGCGCTGACGTGAGCCAATCAGGAGGGCCTCGGTTTTTCGCACGTTGAGCTGAAGAAAGTTGTCTCTCGTCCAGGACTCGATGTCGGACAGGCAGGCTGTCAGGACATCGGTGGTCGTGGAGTTGAGAGTAGAGGAGGAAAGGTAGAGTTGGGTGTCATCCGCATACATGTGGAAGTTAACTCCATGTCTGCGGATGATGTCACCGAGGGGGAGCATATAGAGGGTGAAGAGGAGGGGACCGAGGACAGAGCCCTGAGGGACACCACATGAGACAGTACGGGGGGTGGAGGAGAAGCCATTCGTCGAGACAAAGTGAAGACGGTGAGAAAGGTACGACCTAAACCATTCAAGGACAGTGCCTTGAAGGTTGAGGTGGGAGGACAAGCGGTGGAGTAGGATAGCGTGGTCGACCGTATCGAATGCTGCCGATAGGTCGAGGAGGACGAGGAGACAGAGGGAGCCCTGGTCACAGATGGTCAGGATATCATTGGTGACCTTGACCAGGGCAGTTTCTGTGCTATGGGCAGCACGGAAACCTGACTGAAGATCAGACGTGTGCAAGTTTTACTGTAATATCAATTTTTTTCTCTCTGCATGAAAATCACTGTTGTGCAAATAACCAATAAATTGAGTGCTGTGCTCCTGTACTGCTGCATGCATGATGGATTAGAAAGTGAAGGGTGTGCATTCTTGCATTTCAATTGTACGATTATTCAGATCATACACACTGTTTGCAGTCCAGTTGTTAGTGCAAAACAGTAAATGGCAAATTAAACCAAATTTCCAATCTTAGTGCCGTGATGAATTGTATCAAATGGAAGTCTTGTAGTCTTGAGACACAACTCTTTGACCATACTTTCAGACCCGTTTTTCTCTCGTTCTCTAACCCTCCTCACCCATCCCCTCAACTGCTAGCCCGGGCTTCCAGTCAGTTGTATGAAATTCTTTAAGATTTTTTCCCAAAGTGAAAGGTACTATATAAATGTAAATTGTCATTATTGTTGTGGAGTCCTATAGCTCAGTGGTTAGAATGTTTGCCTCCCAAGTGAGACATCTGGGTTTGATTCCTGGCAGGGCAAAATGTTGGGCAAGTTTCCTTACTCCATACACTTCTGTTTACCTAGCAGTGAGTAGGAACCCGGTTGTTAGACGATTGGCGGATCGCTTTTCCGGGGCTAATAATTCCTTAAACAAAATTGGTCAGTTCAATCATGATTGTTTATGGGACACTGCTGGGCGCAATTGGCTGCCTCATTTTGCCCACAAAATATACAGTCAATTCACTTTACAGTATATTCTGTGAAGCGCTTTGAGACGTCGCAAAGACGTGATAAGGCACTATTTCAAATGCAAGTATTATTATTATTATCTAGTTTGTGTTGCTGACATATTCATGGTACAGTGCTAATTGATCGCTTCTCACCTAATACGGTCTCATCTCTCCACAGGATATCAATCATTCTGAAAAATACTTACAACACTGTAAAAATAAGAAAATTTATCCTGCAGAATTTTCAGTGCACAACAAAATTATGAACATAAATATGCTTTTTCTAAATCGCGTGTATATTAAAGGGTGGGTGGGGAATAGTGACAATTGTATTGATGGTTAGCGCACTAAGGTGTTATATCAAATGTAAGGATTATTATCGAGAGACCTGGGTTCAATTCCCAAGGGGGAAAAATGTTGGGCAAGCTTCTTTACTCTGCACGTCTCTGTTGTTTACCCAGCAGTAAGTAGGAACCCAGTTGTTAGTCGATTGGCAAATTGCTTTTCCGGGGGTAATAATTCCTCCTCCCAAAAATTAATAATAGTAATTTGGTCACTTAATGCACGACTATTTGTGGGACACTGCTGTGCGCAATTGGTTACCATGTTTCACCCACAAAATGTATGCAGTTAATTCACTTTACAGCATATTCAGTGAAGCGCTTTGAGATGTCTCATAGACTTTATCTACGATCAAATGCAAAAATTATTATTAACCAAACAGAGTTTCACATATGTACCCACCCTAAACATGGAAATTTCCCTGTGCCTGGAATGGAGAAATTTCCCTGTGCCTCCCTCCCTGGGTTGGGCTCCTGCTGAAATTTAACAGCTAAAACAGCATAATTTGCCATTAAGTACACTGTGTGACAAGCATCTCATTCCTTGTCTAGTTAGGCCCACCCTACCCGTTACGGCTTTGACTTGCAGGGTTAAGAGGAACTGAGTGGGATGACTCCCTGCATTACTGATCTGCCCTGTCAAGTCTTGCCAATGAACCGGACTGTCTTGACTGTCATCAGCAGAGCCCACGAACATTGCGGACCTCCCCCCGAGGACGTCCTCCAAGGAGACAGCACTTATGGGACGTGACGAGTATGTTCGGCACAGAACTGTATCACTGTCACACAACCCGAAAGATCTCTGCACTTTTATCCCAATCGGTGCCCAACCTTAATTCAATTGTTTCCGATTTGGATAGCTTTTAAAAAAAAAAAAAATTGGCTAGGGGCAGCACGGCCTGGATCTCTCTTCAGTCCGAGGAAATAAATATTAAGCAAAAGAAGAGCTAAAAGCTGCTTGAGGGGTTACTCTGAAACTGTGACGTTCCGCTTATTAGGTGAGATAGCCTGCCACCTGCTGGTTGTTTTTAGCAGGAACATCACAAACTTTCCCCATCATTTCTAGAGAAATCTTTCAACATGTGTTTTGCCAACTGCTTGGACCTTCAGTGGAGTATCAGCCAGACCATAAAAACAGATTTACAAAGAGAACTTTATCAGTGATAACTAACCTCTTCAATAATAATAATCCTTGGATTTGATCTAGCCCCTTATCACGGCTTCGACTGTTCCACTGTTCTGTAGCTGTTAGAATTTACACTTTTTGTATAATGTTAGAATCATAATAGATGTTGCGAACGGCTTAACTTTTAAGTTAAGTGTGGGGGACAACTGGACTAACAGTCATGGGATAGGACACATCTGGTTTTCTCTGTTTTTGAAAGAATAACAGGACAGCTTTGGAAAAGGGCAGGGGGTCACCTCTTATCAGTAAATGACAACACGGCTACAGAGGTAACGGTCCAAGGTACCAGTCGACACAGGATCTCGACTGAGCAATAAGTTGCTAGATTCTGACAGGGCCTGCCAACCGACAGAAGACAACCCTCAAGAATAGCAACTAATGAGCAAGTTGCTTAAACTGGAGGACCTTGGTACCATCCCGGGATACTGATAAGAAATAACCAGTCACTTAAAAGGAATGTACTAATGATCCCACACCACAAAATAATGAGCACCAGATACAGCCCTAAACTGATCAATCCTCTATCTTGGATAATTAGATCAGATAACAGGGGTCTTAAGGACAATGTGTATGTGTGTGAGGCACGTACACCCCATGAGGTGCTCACGTACACCCAGCATGATTTCGACCGGGTGATCTAATGTCCGCACCATAATTGGATGAACATCGGTATAAGAGTTCCGTTAACTTTGTGAACGGGGCCATCCCGGGTCGTGGAGACAAGGATACGGGAGATGGAGCCATCCCGGGCTGCGAAGACAAGGATACGGGAGATGGGGCCGTCCAGGGCTGCGGAGACAAGAGTATGGGAGATGGAAGACTGAGAGCTAGAAACACTAAGACTGAGGATATCAGATGGAAGATTGAAAGCTGTAAGCAAGAAGACTGAAAGCATGAAGAATCAAGCTTGCGTGTTGTAAAGACACAGTGTCGAACTTGAGATATCTACAGTGGTATTATTCTGTTATAAGATCTGTTGATTGTACCGGCCTTTGGTCTGACCCATCGGGATATTGGGGAATAACGAACGAATAATAATAAAACAGTCTGATATCTGGTTAAAGGAATTAGCGTTATTTCCTTACAGATTTGGCTGATTTTATTTTCTAACAATTTGGGGTTCGGCAGGATACTCTGAATTAATACACTCGGTAGTTGACTTGTTTATGAGTCCGGTACGACCGTAACTAGTAAATAGTTGGGACGGTGGCCGTGGTACTCGCAGAAATTAGGAGTCCGGTACGACCGTAACTAGTAGATAGTTGGGACGGTGGCCGTGGTACTCGCAGTAAATTATGTGTCCCGTATGATCGTAACTAGTAGATAGTTGGGACGATGGCCGTGCCTGCAGGCAATTAACCAAGTGTATTAACCCATTGGGATTCTGAGTATTAAAGAACCATTATAATCCATTCGAGCGAGTGTCTCTATTTGGATTTTCTAACATAGCCACTCAAATAAGTGTCTGCAACTAATTTATTTAATGCTTCAAAATCCTATTACATTGAGTAGTGTAGTGGTTAGTGCACTTGTCTCGCAAGCAATAGAATCCAAGTTCCAGAATGAGGCAAAACCTTTAGCAAGTTTCCGTACTCCACCTGCCTCTGTTTACCTAGCAGTAAGTAGGAACTCAGTTGTTAAAGATCAATAGCAAGCTGAAATAGTGGGGTAATCCTGCCACTGTATAAATCATTGGTGAGACCACACTTAAGAGTACTGTGTACAGTTCTGACGCCGCAGTACAAAAAGGATATTGAAGAACTCTAGAAGATACAGAGGAGGGCAACCAAAATGAATGAGGGAATGGAAGAACTGGACTATCAGGGGCGACTAAGTAAATTGGTCTTGTTCACACTGGAAAAGAGAAGATTGAGAGGTGACATGACTGCTGACTTTAAAATTCTAAAGGGGCAAGACAATATACATCATGACAGGCTGTTTCAACAAGTCCAGAGTAGTAAAACCAGGATGTGTTGATCTTTTCAAACACAGATTAGATAGTTTTCTTTTAGGAAATAACATCATGGGATATAGCAAGTAGATAGTTCGGGACATGTGCATGTGACCGTCAGGAAGGTGAAAGCGAACTAGATGCACCTTGGTCTTTTTTTGTCTCGCATTTCTTATGTTCTTATGTTAGCTGATTGGCAGATCGCTTTCCGGGGGTAATAATCCTTCAAAATAAAATTGGTCACTCAATCCATGTCTGTTTGTGGGACACTGTTGCGTGCAATTGACTGCCGTATTTCGCCCACAAAACACACGGTCAGTTCACTTTATAATATATTCTGTGAAGCACTTTGAGACATCTCAACAACATGATAAGGCGCTGTATCAAATGCAAGGATTATCATTATTATTACATAGGAAGCTATTTCCTCTACTTAATATATTTTATGATTTAATATCTTTTGTTTGTGCTGTCCAGTGTTTACAACCTTATTCATTTGGTTTGTTCTTCTAGTCTTGTTCCTGTAAAGATTGGAGTTCTTTTGGCAGAATATTTTGGTGTCATCCATTGCATGGACCAGTTCAAGGGCCATGCTAAGAGCGAATAACAGGAGCAACTTTAAAAGAAACTGATCCTCTGGGTATTAATAACTTGACCACAATGGATAAGTCTGTTTTCCAAATCATTAATGGTTTAATTTCAGTAATATATTGAAATGTTCCTTATGGTTTCAATAACCTTCACTTTATCCCCCCTATCCTTTCCCCCACACATATATAAAACATATGTGTGATAAATATATACTTTGTATGCATTATACACATATTTCAAATCCAGACCATATAGGATGCTTAATTAACCTACACAGGAATATGCAATTGATTCTCTTTGTCACAAAACCTTTGTAGCTAACTTGTTACTTATTATAACAAGAACTTAGATGTGTATTAGGGCCTTCATGTGGGATAGTATCTTGGAGCACTTGAACTCGCGTTATGTTTCCTGTACTGTGTTTGCCGTTGTTCAGTGACTATTAATGTGTTTTTGTTCGAACACAAAACTTAACTAACCTGTCAGAAAATATAATTTTCATTTGAATACTTGGTAGATTAATTTAATATAGAACCAAAGTAGCTGGAGGAATGATGTCCCAAACCAGTTGTCAAATGTTACTTTTACAAGGGCTGGATCTCCCTCACTTCACTTTCTGTTTTGCTGACAATTGGAGAAAAGGAGAAAGAAATACTCTGCTCACAAAAATTGTTTTGCTGTCAGGGTATTTAAAAGCAACTGATCCCAAAACGAGACCAGTGGATTTCATTGTCTACGTATCTGATAAACATTGAAACTTTTTCCTTTATCAATATTTATGTTGGAAAACTAAATATAACATTGTATTCTAGTGTTATGCGTAATACCACCCCTTTTATCTGCATTTTATTCTCTTTTGTTTAATTGCGAATGAAATTAGAAACTGGTTGGGGATTTTATTTTAAGTGTTTCTCTGTGTTGCAGCAGCTTTAAGAATTTACAATTGCAATATGTTCTTCATTTCTTTTTAATGTTGCCTTTCTTCATTGTAATCTCCCTGTGTTTAGAATTTGGAGAAATAGTTGATACATTTTGCCCATCTGTTTCTGATCATCAGTTTGTCGCATCAATTTAGAAATACTTCATTGAGCCGAGATTTATAAGGCCATTTCTCCTCATCAAACGCATTCTTTCCCATTCATCACACTGAGAATAGTTCATGTGTGCCTCCAGAAATGCTGATTTATCACCTCAATAAAAGTACATTTGTAACAGAATTCCTAAATGACTTCCTATCAGCAGACACTGGATTTCTTTGTCAGGTTGCTAACTGTTAAGTAGAGCGTTTGTCAAGACACTTGGGGCCAAAGCACTTGGATGGAAACCTGGAACAGGGCTGCTGTAATGTTCAGTCTCATAACAGTTGACTTAATATAATGTCACCAGCTTTCTGCTGTCCTGCTGTTGGGTATCCTCAGAAGAGAGTTGGTCTGCACGGAGATCGCTAAGTGGTGCTTAGCGCAGTTTTCTGAAAACTGATGAGTAGTCATCCATGTAGATAGTAGTCTGGCCTTGTTTCCACCACGGTTTATTTGTATGTGACGTGTGTCTCTTACAGTTGGGGGAAAAATGTTTCATAATACTGATTTTTTTCTTTGTTTGTTTAGTGCACCTGAGGGGAAACTATACAGATAAACTACTTCCTCCGATGGGGGAATCCAGAATAAGGAGGCATATCTTAAAATTAGAATTAGGCCATTTAGGAGTGAAATTAGGAGGCAGTTTTTCCACTGAAAGGATAGTGGAAATCTGGAACTCTCTCCCCCAAAAGGCTGTGGATTCTGGATCCATTTACATTTTTAAGACTGAGGTGGATAGCTATTTGTTAGGTCGGGGTATCAAGAAATTTGGGGCAAGGGCAGATAATTGGACTTGAGATTCAGATCAGCCATGATCTTATCGAATGGAAGAACAGCCTTGAGGGGCTGAATGGCCTAATCCTGTTTCTATGAAATATGAAATTATCTGGTTGTGTGTTTGTAACTGACTTATTGTTGCACCCTCTTTTATCAGTGTTGTGGGTAGAAAACAAAATACTACTCGTAGGAATTTACAAAAGGCTTCAATTCAATATGGAAATTCTTCATATTGGTATTTGATGTAGAATTAGAGCAGGAAAATCTATGACCTTGTCATGTAATACAGATGTAGCTTTCCTGCACTTCAGATACTAACAATGCCATATTTCCTGGCTCGGACGAGACAAAGTGCAGGAAGAAAGGAAACCAGAATAAATAGTATTTGTACCTCTTAATATCTAAACTAGGAGAGGGGATTCTGACAAAGGGTCGTGGACCCAAAACATTGACTCACTTTCCTTTCTCCATAGATGCTGCCTGACCTGCTGAGTGTTCCCAGCGACTTCTGTCTTTGTAGGAGAGGGGGCAATTGTTTTTGATGTGAATATTGTACTTCTCATGACAAAAATTTAAAGGAGGATATTTTACAAAACTTTATAAATAATATTTTATGTACTATGCTCACATACTGAATGAAGTTTGAATGTTTTCAATACCTCGTTGGAACCAATGAGTGGAAGGGGAGAGAAGCAAACCTGCCTTTCTTTTCCATCCCTGCCCTGCCCAGCAAGAGTCTGGGAGTGAAGAAAGAATCTTAATATATACAGTATATAAATTCTATAAAATGTGAACTTAATATGTCTTGGTACTGTATTTTACTCAGTAAGACATCAGATTCTTTTTCAACTCTGAATTCCAGAAACATGGAAGATGGATGTACACCCTCCGAGAAGGGAATAGAGGACTGTAGGACAGGGGTATTGTTATTGGGTTCTCATTTGCTCTTAGTCAGATCACTGAAGTACAAACATAGCATAGGGTTAACAGCTTAATAGATATTGCACCTCAATGTGAAGGTTGCTCCATTTACGATTGGGACAACTTCCTGTAAAAGTTGGCCTTCTCCCACCTTCACTGTGGTCTTTGATCAGTAAGACTCAGTCAAACTATGCTACCTATCTCACTGATGTTGGCAAGATGTTCATCTATAAAATACACAGTCACTAACTTTACAGTAAATCTTGTGCAGCACTTTGAGATGTCCTAATGTCAAAGGCATTATGTCAAATGCAAGAATTCTTCTTAGTCTTTGACTCGGAAGGTTGTGATTTGACTGTAAGCTACCACTTCAATGCAATGCATTGTTGGAGGTTGCGTCCTGCTAATGAGACTTTAAACTGACGTCCCATTTGCCTGTTTAGGCGGGTGTTAGAGTCCTATGGTACTGTTTGAAAAGGAAGAGGCTCTCAGTGTTCTAGGCACCGATAAACCAGGTAAAATTGTTTGTTCACTTAGTGGCTGTTTGTTGGAATTGGCTGCTGTGTTCCTCAACAAAATACACAGTCGCTACACTTTAAAGTAAAATCCTGTGAAGTGCTTTGAGATGTCTTCCCGACATGAAGGGTGCTGTTGCAAATGTGAGGATTATTTATTATTATAACCACCTATGTTTTTGTTTCTTTGCAGTATCCTTCCTGTGAAACTTGGGATTCTTCTTGGAGATTATTTGGGTGCTTTCCAAATAATGGATAAATTCAAAGGTCATCCCAAGAAAGATTAACGTTTTCCACGCAGTGAATACAGAAGTTTGTTTTCTATATTGTGAAATCGCGTCAGTTAAAATAGTACGATTTGTTTAACAAAGCTTAGCATTTAATAAAAAAGAAATGAAAGAGAGTATGTAATTCTGCAAATCTGAATAAAACAATCTGGAATTCCATGGGTGGTCAACCATACAATATTAATCTATTTTTGACCTTCAGGTGGTGAATAACCAGCTGTGTATTCCCAGGGTTTTTTTTTACGAAAACCGTACATTTTATTCTCTTTCTTGCAACCTAATTTTTCTTACTGGCATTTTTATAAAACTGCAACTTACTGTTCAGTTTATTTTTGGAACAATCAAACGTGAATTTCACATTTGTTGAATATTGTCTTTTAAGCTTTTCCTGTTTCTATTTGCCTTGCCCCACATGTAAAAATGTTTTCATAAATAATCCTTGCATTTGATACGAAATATATGTCACCAAAACGTCTCAGTGTTTTACAGGATTTACTGCAAAGTGCAGTGGCTGTGCATTGGTAGGTGAATATGAGGAAGAGGGCAATGCAAGACTGAGTAATTTTCCCATTGTAGGCTTAAAGCCATTGAGAAATATTAAATGAGACACATTTTTTTCCTTTAGCAGCCTTGTATTGTGCTGATTTGTTAAAGTTAAGGCACTGATGAATAGCCTTGTAATGAGCAGTCAGTAAGCTCTTCAGTACACACACAGTGAAGCATTTATTTTTGCAGTTTGCTTCACAATTGATTCAGATAAAGAAGTAATCTAAAAAAAAGTCAATATACTTTACAGTAAATTCAGTGAAGTGTTTTGAGACACCTTAATAATGTGTTCAGGTGCAATATTAAATGCAAGGATTATTATTATAAAGTGATACCTTCTGAGTGAGAAGCCCTACGTCAGGACTTGAACTCACATAGTTTAAGGTGGCACTCCAATGCAGTTAGGTGGTGTTGAATTATTAGAGGTACGGTCCCTCGGATGAGATGTTAAACCAAGGATCTGTCTGCCTGTTCAGGTGGACGTTAAACATCCCATAGCACTATTCAAAAAGAGAAGTTTCCTCTGGTGTCCGGCCAACAATCCCCCAAATATAATTGGTTGTTAATGTTTCATGGCTGTTTGAGGGACACTGCTATGTGCAATTAGGCTGCTCATTCACCTACAAATGTACAGCCATTCCATTTCACAGTAAATCCTGTGAAGCAAATTGGGACATTCTCCCAATGGGAAAGGTGCTATACCAAAATGCAAGTATTATTATTAATGTTCTCGACAAGAAAGATGGGAAAAATCTAGATAACCTACTGGTCACTGAATAAAGTGTTGAATGGCAACTGTATACACTACAACACATGTTATTGTTGGGATTTATTCAGCACAATATCAACCATTCAAGAACAAAGCAGATAGGACAAACAGCCATTGTGACTGAAGAGTAGACGGATTTTCCAAGTCCTCTCAAAGGGCTTTCAGCAGGAAATTGATACACACTACTATAAGTGGAGATGATGAAAATCTTTCAGTCCCTTAAACTTGCCCGAGAACGTTCAAAGGACATTTTTTAATCTTAGTAAAGAGAAAGTCACACTACCAGCTCTTTAGTAACACACACAAATAAATAACCAGCATTGGGCATTTGGAACTCTGCTCCTGCTCAAGTGGATGTGCAGTGGATTCCTCGGTACCCAGTGAATGCAATGTTGTAGCTGGGAAATATGGATCTTGTTTCATGCGTCAAATTTTTCTACAATTGGAAGAAATTTCAAATTGTTTCCAACAGTAGAAATAGCATTAGATTGGCAGCATAAGAATAGATGGCATCCAGAGACAGGAATATAAGGACAGATGTCTCATGAATATGGTACAGGTGTGTGGTGGGACCACAGAAGATTTGCAGCATTACTCTTCCCAGAAGATGATTTGGAGTGCCCATATATACCACTAACATCAGGCAAAGACGGGACTATAGCTGATAAACCATAAAGTTAAGTTTGAGTGTTAGCTGGTGTGACGGTGATAAACCCTGTCACTGCTTTTTATGGTTATTGCTGCTCAACCTACGTGTAAAGGAGCATATTTTTGTGTGTCTGACTTGGTAAAAGGGTGCCACAATCAAGGGAGCTAACAAGGGCTCGAGTTCCATCCCTAAGTGATAATCGGGGACTGGCCACAGGTTAATGAACATCAGTTATAAAGATGGGTGTCAGTGAGCAGTTAGGTGAGTCTGGAGAAAATGGATGTAAATAAGGGAGAATTTCCTTTTTCAACATAAACTTTTCTTTATTGTTGTTAAAACCAGTTGTGCAAGTTTTGTTTTGTACATAGTCCCACAAACAACCATGAAATGAATGACTAATTTTATCTGGGGGATAAACCCAGGAGAAACTCCCTTTTTTCAATCAGTACCATGGGGTTTTTAACATCCAACTGAACAAGCAGGTGACACCTCAGTTTAATGCAAGAGGACAGCTCCAACAATGCGAAGCAATGCAATCACTCCTCAAAGCAATCACTCCTCCAAGTAGTCAATCACAATAGATTAAAGATCCATCAACTTCAGTGGATTTGTATATACAGGTACTTTTAATATAGAAATCTTATAAATAAACTGGCAGTGAAAGAATACCATGGTGTGCAACAAACGATGCAATGAGTCATGCTACCTCTAGAGGATGTGATTGAGCTTTTCTTCAGTTTCCCATTTTCAAAATGTGTTTAGGTAATTCAGTGACAATTATAATACAAAAAGAAGCCATGCAACCTGTTGTATCCACCTTGTTGACAGTTTCCCCCATTGGAGCTGTCCACACAAACCCAATTCTCTGAAGTTTCTCTGCACCTCTGCACTTCTACATTTTCAAAATAATTAAACATTTTCAGTTATAGTTATTTGTGTATTTCTCAACATAATAATTTTTTATTTCAATGTAATACTTTATTGATCCAGTTTACCTGTTGAAGAGAAGCTTTGTAGTAACATTAAATTAATAAAACAATAATTTTTATTAATGTATGAACAATTAGATATAATTGAATTGTGTGTTGATTATAATACAATAAATTATTAATGCATTGATTAAAAAGTAAATTAATAAAGCAGTAAAATATTTGATTTAAATTTGATACAGTACCTTGCAACAACACAACAACAACAAGATTCCATTTATAGAGCGCCTTTCACGTCGGGAGGACGTCCATTTCATGTGAAGAAGGCGTCTCAAAGCATTCCACAGAATATCCTTTATTGTGCCTGTATATTTTTTAGGCAAATGCGGCATCCAATTTATGACGACAACAACAAAATTACATTTGGAAAGTGCTTTTCACATCGGGATGACTTCCATAAGTGCTGGACCTGAGCTGGGTGTCGGGATTGGGGAGGGTGGAGGGCACGGTGGAAGGAGAAATCATCGAAGGCACGGTTGAAGAGAAGCGTCTTGAAACAGGAGGGGGCAAGCTGGAGGGACTTTGGGATGGAGTTCCAGAGGTGGGACTAGAGTGGCTGGAAGCTGGTCTGCCAATGGTGGGGTGGGCGAGACGGGAGACGTGAAGCAGGTGGAAGGAGCGGGCAGGGGTTAGGAGGTTGCTGAGGTAGGGGGGAGCAAGACCATGGATACTTTGAAAGTGAGGATCTTGAAACTGTATCCTCTGCGTGATGGGAAGCCAGTGGAGTCGAGCGAGAATGGGGCTGACAGGTTCGCCGAGCCTGGTGCAGGAGAGGACATGGGCTGCAGCGTTCTGGATAATCTGCAGCCTATGGAGGGAGGAGTTGGGGAGGCTGACAAACAGGGAGTTTGCGTAGTCGAGCCTGGATGTTATTAAAGCATGTATGAGGGTTTCGGCGGCCTATGGTGTGAGACAGTGGCAGTGCCGGATGATGTTGCGGAGGTGTGTAAAGGCGGAGCGGGTCATGGTACGGATGTGGGGTATGAAGGACAGTTGAGGGTCAAACAGGACACCGAGATTTACACGCAATAGTAACTCGCAAACAGTGCCATGGGATCTGAAAGTCCACCTGGGGCTTGAACCTAACAATCTTTTGACTCGGAGGTGAAAGTGCTGCCACCTGAGTCATCTACTCACATGATTTGGTTGATAGATAGGAAACACGAGTGTTTCAGCACGTCATAGGATATTTGTGACAAAAACACTATATAACACATGTAATCAGGTTAACACTCAATACTGCTTCCTGGTAGGTATTTCTGGAAATAGAAATCCCCTCCAGTTCATTGTGTAGGTTGGACACGGTACAGTACTAGGCGAGCAATACCTCGTTGGAAGTGGCAACATTTGGATGTTAAACTGAGGTCCTGTTTGCATGTTCAAGTAAATATCCTGTGACACTTGAAAAGTAAAGGAAGCTTTTCCTGGTGTACTGGCCACCAATTCTTAAGATTAATTTACAATTCACCTCTTATTTGTTTGTGGAACCTGCTGGTGCGTACCAGTCAAAAATAACTTCTCAGTCACTTAGAGTTGTCTCAAAGTGTGAAAGCATTACAAATATGTGAAATCTTGATTTGCAGATATCATACAATTTACATTTATATAGCACCTTTCATTGCCATGGTATCTTTAATATCCACCTGAACAGGTAGGTGGGAACTCGATTTAATGTTTCAATCAAAGAATGGTACCTCTAACAATGCAGCACTCCCCAGCACTGCATTTCAAGTGTCAACCTACACTATAAATTCAAAGTCCGAAAGTGGGGCTTGAACCCACAGCTATGAAAATAAAAAGGACCTTGAAAGGATTTGATAAAGTGAATAGGGAGAAACTGTTTCCACTGGCGGGTGGGTCAGTAATAAAAATAATAATCCTTGCATTTGATATAGTGCTTTTCACGTCTTCTAGATATCTCAAAGCGCTTCACAGAATATGCTGTAAAGTGAATTGACCATATATTTGTGGGCGAAACGACAAACAGTCGTGGATTGAAAATGACTAATTTATTATTGTTTTTTTTGGAGGGATTATTATTAGGCGTGTGGAGTAAGGAAACTTGCCCAAAGGTTTCTCCCTGCCTGGAATTGAACCCAGGGGCATAGAGTATAAGAGTAGGGAGGTAATTGTTAATCTATAGAAAACACTGGTTGGGCCTCAGCTGGAGTACTGCATCCAGTTCTGGGCACCTTACTTCAGGAAGGACATTAAGGCACTGGAAAGGGTGCAGAGGAGATTTACGAGAATGAAACCAGGAATGGGGAACCTTAGCTATGAGGACAGGTTGGAGAAGTTAGGACTTTTCCCATTAGAGCAGAGAAGGTTACGTGGGGACCTGATAGAGGTCTTCAAGATCATGAAAGGTTTCGACAGGCTAGATAAGGAAAAGCTGCTTCCACTGGTAGGTGTGTCTGTGACCCGTGGTCACAGTCTTAAGATGTCTACCAAAAGAAGCAGAGGGGAGGTTAGAAGAAATTTTTTCACTCAGCGAGTTGTTCAAATTTGGAATGATCTGCCTGAAAGGGTAGTGAAGTCCGATTCAATAACAGCTTTTAAGAGAGAACTGGATAGGTATCTAGAGAAGACGGGTTTGCAGGATTATGGGGAGAAAGCTGGTGATTGGGGTTAGTGAAAGTGACTTGCTCTGTCAAAGAGCCGGCACAGACTCGATGGGCTGAATGGCCTCCTTCTGTGCCGTAACATTCTATGAATCTATGAAAATGGTGTATTGCTTGCAAGGCGAGTGCTCTAACCACTCCACAAAAAGTAACCAGAAGACACAGATTTAAGATAGTTGTCAAAAGAACCAGAGGGGAAATGAGGAGAAATGTTTTCACACAGCGAATTGTTCTGATCTCGAAAGTATTTTCTGAAAGGCTGATGGAAACAGATTCAATAACAACTTTCAAGAGAGAAGTGGATAGATATTCTGGGAGGACAAATTTATAAGGCTATGGGGAAGAGAGCAGGGGAGTGGGATTAATTTGGACAACTCTTTCAAGAGACGGCATGGGCACGATGGGCAAAATGGCCTCCTTCTATGCTGTATAATTCTATGATTTTATTTTAATCGATATGGTCAGGATCAGAATTAAAATGACATTGTTCTCTCACATCCCTCAACCTATTTATTTTCCTAATAACTATCCATCTCCTTCTTGAATATGATACAATCTGACTCCATCTCATCTCTAACTAGAACCAGATAGATGCGGCACAGAAGGTCCATTTAACCCATCGTCTGTAGTTGAATGCAAACTGTCTGTTCTGAGCTTGAGTCGGTGTAAAAATACACAAGCAGTGAATGAGGAGAGAGGGAAGTTATCTTAATGCAACAATTAATGCAATGTGTGAAAACAGCACAGCCATTTCAGGTGCTAAGAAATTGTGCGGCTTTGCTGACACTCTCTAAAAGTTAAAATAGCTGTTTTTTTTCCCCCCAGCTATGTATAGTACTCATGTCCTAAATATGCATGTATTTGATAAATTGTGAAGGACATACTGAGTAAATTATGATGATAAATAGGATGGCACTGTACTTCATCATGACAGCACTGAATGGTTTCCATCTAAACATAGAAGAAAAAAACTTGATTGTTTTCAGCAGTTGATTAATTAAATTGTATTTGCACAAAATGGTTCAAATCTTACATTTAGAAAAGTTTAGTTTTACAAGGCATGAAACTCATGGGCTGCTGATGAAATATATTGAAAAGTGGACTGTGTATTTTGTGGGAAAAACGTGACAGCCAATTGCACACAGCAGTGTCCCACAAACAATCGTGGATTGAGCGGGCAAATTATTATTTTATTTATTTATTTTAAAGGAATTATTACCCCCGGATAAGCAATCCACCAATTGACCAACAACTGGGTTCCTACTTACTGCTGGGTAAACAGAGGTGTGTGGAGTAAGGAAATTTACCGAAGGCTTCACCCCGAATGGTGCTTTCTATGCTAAAATTTGTATTATCTTCCACATTGTATTGGCTTTTTTATTCAGTTGAAATAATAATCCTTGCATTTAGTAATGCAGTACTAAACACGAATTGGTGAAAAGTTTCCTGGAGCACATATTTAATCAGTGGGAAATAAATGATTCATCCACTGTATCTATCTTATAACCAAATCATTTAGGAACAAATGGTGCATAAAATGCGAATGGAGCCTCATCATCTCTTTTAAACCATCACCGTGAAGATTGCAGCTTGCATTTCAACACAATTTTTCCCCCTTCAGATTGTGTTGTACTCATCTCAAATCAATGTTCACAGACATTCATGGGCTTTTTTATTTTCATTCAGTGGCCCACATTTGTGAAGTCACTGAACAGTTTAATCACAGTATTGGCATATTTCTTATATTAAAAGTTATTATTCCAAGTATATAAAATTATATACAAATTTGTTCAAAAGATAAAACATCAACTGTTTTAATATTGTTGAATTACATATTCAGAGTCATCATTAGTAGGGTATCGCTTTGTATTCTTCCAAAATTGTTCTTCTTTCCTCTGCTGTTGGCATATTAGGGATAATGCCATTTTTTCGTCTTTCAATCATTATGTTGTTCTTTATGAAGGAAAAAAAGTAACAAAACTTAATTCCTGCATATTCTGACATGCACTGCTAAATTATATGTTTGAGATGCATTGCAAGGCCCCGCATCAGGACTGGCAACTCATAGTTTAGGCTGACACTCCAGTGCAGTTCAGTTCCAGTGCATTGTTGGAGCTGTCATGCTTTGACCGAGACTTTAAACAGAGGTTCTGTCTGCCTATTTAGATGGACATTGAATATCCCATGACACTATTTGAAAAACATTTACCCCAGTGTTCTGGTTAACAACTCCCACTTAAAATTGGTCATTAACTTTATGGCTGTTTGTGGGACATTGCTGGGCACAAATTAGCTGTGGTAATACAAAGCACATAGACATTGCACTTTACAGTATATCCTATGAAATACTTTGAGATGTATTCCCAATGTGAAAGGCACTATTAAAAATATATGAGGAGGGCTTAGTAGGTTACACACATGCTGTGATTGAGCAGTATCTGAAGTACTGCATACAGTCTTTTGTCATAACATCAGGGGACTGCCCGAGGTAGTGTAGAGAAGATCAAGACTGATCTCTGCCATTTAAGATTAGCTATAAAGAGCAACCAGAGCAAAAGGGAAATACTGCAGGTGCTGGAAATCTGAAATAAAAACAGAAATCTCGCTGGAAACACTCAGCAGATCAGGCAGCATCTATGGAGAGAGGAAAGTGATGACCTAAAACGTTCCGACCAAAGGTCATCGACCTGAAACGTTAACTCACTAGCCTCTCTCCATAGATGCTGCTTGACTTGCTAAGAATTCCCAGCGACTTCTGTTTTAATTTTAGATGAACCAGGGCCTTGAAAAAAAGACAGTTCAGATGTGGATCTTCTAGAAGTATGTAACATTTTAAAAGCAACAGAAAAATAAATCCAGAACATCACTTTTGGTATGCCAATGCAGAAGGATAGCCGGTTAAACTCCAATGCACACTCTCGGATCCCCAAGGCTTGGTTCTTACCAACCTTCATTTAATACTCTTCAGAATTAGGGAAATAGGATGCATCCCTCTGGGGAGAGTGTATATTCCATTGCAGACACAGGGAAATTTTCATGCATAGGTGGCAAACATATGTGATACCCAGCTGGCCAAAACAAGGCTTTTGTATTAATGTAACTTTTTCTCATTATTATTCATACTTACCCAGAATTTTCTGCACATTTTATACCTCAGAAAATGATAGGTGCACAAATCCCTATTGTAATTGTTTGCTTCCAGGCACTTTTTGGAACCATCAGTCTCCTTAAAATAAAATAAACACTTTTATTTACTCCAGTTAACATTTTGTAAATAAAAGACTATCGATTTTAATGAGGCTTCCAACCTTCAGACAAGGGTTAATGTCTTCATCTCTTAACTTTTGGGCACTTCTAGACATTCTCATGTATGTCTTTACAGTAATCTGAAATATCAACAGACAACATCATACAGGTAAAACAGTTTATGGTGATACATACAACAGTTTATGGAAGCTAAATAAAGCACTAAGAAAAGCACCATTGACAACAATGTCTCCTGATCCTTGGTAGCATTGCAGGGCAGCAAAATTAATAATTGCATTTATATAGCACCCAGACAGCATCTGAGGGCTCCCTTGTCTCACTGCTACTTCAGTCCAGACACAGAGCTCCTGTGTTTCAATGTTATTGGAGTCCAGACACAACGCTCCTAATTAAAATCAGTAATCATTTTATTCCCAAAACGTTAGCTCAAGTATATAAATATATTTTATTTTTATTTTAAGAGTACTAATGACTCCAGGGAGTATCAAGAATCAAACAATTACAATATATATATGTGCAACTATTATTTTTGAGCTATAAAACATACTGGGTGTAAGTGTGAATACCAATAATTAGATGTTTACATTAATAAGAAAGCATTTTTGAGGCACAGAAGCACAGTGTGTGGACTCCGGTAATAGTGAGACATAATAGCTCTGTATCTAGATTCTGGTAACAGTGAGGCACAGGAGATCTGTATCCGAATGCTCCCCCCACACTGAGCGCAATGCAGATGTTCCTATTGCTGTGCACTCTGTACTGTATTTTATCCCGTTCTGTGCTCCCTATACTGTACTCTATCTGTACTGTGCTCTCCATACTATGTTGGACTAGCTATACTCTTTATGATGTGCTATGCCTTCTTTATAATGTACTCTCTCTGTGCTGTGCACTCCTTTGCTTTACTCTTGTGTTGTGCAAAACTGTATCGTTTACCGTTTGTGCTGTGTCTGCTATACTGTATTCTCTATACTATGCACTCTGTAGTATGATCTACTCCTTATGCTGTGCTGTATCCCCTATTGCTCCATCCTCTTGGCACAGTTCAAGATTCTGGGCCTCACTTTCAAAGCTCACCATGGCCTTGCTCTCCTCTACCTCTGTGATCTCCTAACACGCTACCAACCTGCAAATTCCCACCACTCAGCGGGCTCCAGTCTGCTTCATGTCCCCTGCCTCGCCTATCCCACCATTAGCGGGCAGGCTTTCAGCCACTCTGCCCCCACCCTCTGGAACTCCATCCCACAGTCCTTACGCCTCGTCGCCTCCCTTGCCTCCTTCAAAACCCATCTCAAGACCCTCTTCGACCGTGTCTTCAAACACCCTCCTTCCCTCCCTGACCCCAACTCCCTCCGATCTCCAGTCCGAAACACTGATTGTCCAGCACCTTGGGCGTTCTTCCGACGTGGAAGGCGCTATACAAATGTAAGTTTGTTTTTGTTTGTATATAGTACCCAATGTGCTGTACCTTCCGTGCTGTATTGTGTGCCCTCTGTAATATGCTATACCCTCTATTCTCAGGCTAACAAGACTGAGGCTCTCCTGATTAGCTCCTGTCAGGATCTCCACATCTCAGGCACTGGCAGCATCACCATCCAAGGATGCACACTCCGCCTAACTGAGCCAGTCCAGAATCTAGGTCTCAGTGTTAGAGCACTGTAGCTCAGTGGTTAGAGCACTCGCTTTGCAAGCGAGAGACCTGAGTTCAATTCCAGGCAGGGCGAAACCTTGGCAAGTTTCCTTACTCCACACGCCTAATAATAATCCCTCCAAAACAAAAAACAATAATAAATTGGTCATTTTTATTCCACGACTGTTTGTGGGACATTGCTGTGCGCAGTTGGCTGCCGCGTTCGCCCACAGATATACAGTCAATTCACTTGACAGTGTGTTCTGTGAAGCGCTTTGGGACGTCCTCCCGACGTGAAAAGCACTATATCAAATGCAAGGATTATTATTATTATTATTGTTTGACCCTCAACGATCCTTTCTCCCTTCCATCTGTGCCATGACCCGCTCTGCCTTCCCCCACCTCCACAACATCACCCAGTTCCGCCATTGCCTCACCCCTCAAGCCACCAAAACCCTCATTCACACATTCATCACATCTAGGCTCGACCAAGCCAACTCCCTGCTTGACGGCCTTCCCAACTCCTCCCTCTACAAGCTGCAGATCGTCCAGAACTCTGCAGCTCGTGTCCTCTCCTGCACCAGGCTCCGTGACCCCATCAGCCTCTCTCGCCCGGCTCTACCGGCTCCCCATCCCTCAAACGATAAGAGTTCAAAATCCTTCAGTCTCTCCGTCTTCCGTCCTTTGGAACTCCGTCCCGCAGTCCCCTTACCTCGCTCCCTCCCTTGCCTCCTTCAAGGCACATCTCAAACCCACCTCTTTGACCGTGCCTTCAGCTACCATCCACCCTCCCTTAGCCCAATCCCTACCTCCCGCTCAGGTCTTGACGGTCCAGCAACTTGGGATGTTCTCCTGACATGAAAGGCGCTATACAAATGTAATTTTGTATTGTATTGCTGCACCCTGTGTCCTGCCCTTCGACTACTGTTATGCGCTCCGTTGCACTGTCCACTGTTGCCCCTGCCCCGTGTTGCCCTTGCCCTGTGTTGGGATGTCCTCCCGACGTGAAAGTAGATGTAATTTTGTTGTTGTTGTTGCTGTGTTGCCCTTGCCCTGTGTTGCCCCTGCCCCGTGATGCCCGTGCCCCATGTTGCCCTGCATCGTGTTGCCTGCTCCCATGTTGCCCGCTGCCCCGTGTTGCCCGCTGCCCCGTGTTGCCCGCTGCCCCGTGTTGCCCGCTGCCCTGTGTTGCCCTGCCGTGTGGCCCGCTGCCCTGTATTACCTGTTGCCCTGCGTTGGCCTGCCCTGTGTTTCCCGCTGCCCTGTGTTGCCCTGCCCTGTGTTGCCCGCTGCCCTGTGTTGCTCGCTGCCTTGTGTTGCCCTGTGTTGCCCTGCCCTGTGTTGCCCGCTGCCCTGTGTTGCCCTGCCCTGTGTTGCCCGCTGCCCTGTGTTGCCCGCTGCCCTGTATTGCCCTGTGCTGCCCGCTGCCCTGTGCTGCCCGCTGCTCTGCATTGCCCTGCCCTGCCCTGTGCTGCCCTACACTGCCCTGTGTTACCCTGCCCTGCGTTGCCCTGCGCTGCCCTGTGTTACCCGCTGCCCTGTGTTGCCCGCTGCCCTGCCCTGTGTTGCCCTGCACTGCCGTGTTACCCGCTGCCCTGTGTTACCCGCTGCCCTGTGTTGCCCTGCACTGCCCTGTGTTACCCCCTGTGCTGCCCTGCACTGTGTTGCCCGCTGCCCTGTGTTGCCCTGCACTGCCCTGTGTTACTCGCTGCCCTGTGTTGCCCGGCACTGCCCTGTGTTACCCGCTGCCCTGTTACCCGCTGCCCTGTGTTACCCGCTGCCCTGTGTTGCCCTGTGCTGCCCTGCACTGCCCTGTGTTACCCGCTGCCCTGTGTTGCCCTGTGCTGCACTGCACTGTGTTGCCCGCTGCCCTGTGTTGCCCTGCGCTGCCCTGTGTTACCCGCTACCCTGCACTGCCCTGTGTTGCCCTGCGCTGCCCTGCCCTGTGTTGCCCTGCACTGCCCTGTGTTACCCGCTGCCCTGCACTGCCCTGTGTTACCCGCTGTCCCCTTTGTCCTCTGTTGCCCCTCTACCTCCGAGACGAGCGCACACAGCCGCCGGCGACGTCACAATCCCGGCGCGCTCGCTCGGCTCGCGCTATTATAGTGGCAAAACCTAACGTGCTGGCGGAAGCCTTGAGTGACGTTGACGGACAGCAGCGCGGACCAATCGAAGGGCGAGTTCTCGGGGCCGGAGCCAGGAGCTCCGCCCCCGGGGCCGCCTGTCGTCCAATGGCCGGGCGAGCCGGGGGCCGTGGAGGGCGGGACGTCCGGCAGCAGGTTAGGTGGAGAAGCAGCGCGTATACAATGGCCGCTGGATGGAGGCTAAAGCAAACAATTTTTAGGCCCGCGGTGAAACAAAAATATGAGAAAAAAAATATTAAAAAATCGAAAAATTGCTTAAAGCCGGAAAAAAACACGGGAGGGAGATGTTGAATGTCCCGCGGTGAGTTTCCGTTTAATTTCTCCAGGTGTTCAGCCCTCTTTGAAATAGATTATCGGGGTTATTTAAATCATGTTGTGTGTGTGTGTGTGTGTGTGAGTGACTTGAGTGAGCGAGAGAGGGAGAGAGAGAGAGAGAGAGAGGGGGAAAAGTTTGTGCCTCCCTCTCCTCTCCTCCTCCTCCTCCTCCTCCTGTTTGTGTCTCGGAGTCTGAGGGAGATTTGAGAGGGGGAGAGAAAGAAGAAGCAACAAAACGAGGGAAAAGGAGAATCAGGGACACAACTCTTTCCTCCCCCCCCAACCCCACCACCACCACCACCCACTCCCCACCCCACAGAGGAAAAAACTAGATTCAAACTCAACGCTGGAAACTTTCTTTGGGGTGGTTTGGTTTTTTTTTTGTTTTTTTTTTGGTGCCGTTGCAGAAGTTGATATCAAAATTTTTTATTTTTTTTTACGAAGGGGGTTGGGTGGTGGTCCTTTCTTTTTATGCTCTCTGTCTGTCTGTCTGTCTGTCTGTAGCATGTACTTTTTTTTTCTTTTATTTGAAGATGTGCTGGGGGGTGGGAGGGGGGGGTTTGGGTGGCGGTGGTGGCGGCGGCGAAGGGGATTTTTTCTTCAATTTTTTTGTGTTTTAAAGAAAACCAAAAAAACAACCCCCTCCTCCTCCTCCTCCTCCTCCAAAAAAAAAAACCTCACTGTGGTTATTAGGGACAAAACAGCACTCGGAGAGAGAAAGAGAAACTTGGGGATCAGCTTCTGTCAAAACCTGCAACAGGACTGAGAGAGCCTTTTAAAACTGGTTTTTACTTTTTTCAAGTGAAACCCTTTTTTTTTTCCCCCTTTTTTTTCCCCCCCTCAAGGAGTGACATTTTATTTCCCGAAGTTGTTTTTTTTGTTGGTTCGGTCTCTTGAAAATATTCTTGTCACTCGTTTGAATGTGAACGATCGGTGCAGTAAACAGGAGCAGAAACCGACTTTCCTTTCACTTATAACCCCAAACGAGTTAAGGGATTGATTCTAAGGTGTTTTTCACCCCCGCCCCCCCCCCCCCAGAAAAAAAAGAGGCTTTCAAAAGTTTTTTTTTTGTCTGTGACTGAGATGTTTAAAAATGCTATTGGAATTGCTGTATATGTGATCTGAAGGATCAAGTGAGGGAGCAGCTTTTCACAAACAACATGCATCCACGGTGTGTGGAGGGAGGGAAGAGGTTGTAGGAATGAAAATACGTTTCTTTATTGACCTTTTAAGCATTGAATATGTTGATCGATTTAATGACAGTCGTGGGAGAGAACAAAATAAAACTCCCCCCCCCCCCCCCCACCCACCCCGGACCTGTAGTATTCATCTTAACTGGAAATAATGTATTTTTTTTCTCAGACGTTCAGTGGTGTGTCAATAGAAACGATATTGGAGGACGATTCCCCCCAAAAATAATGTCTGTTTGTAGAGGAGCAAAACATAGAAACTGATCCGATTATTCTGATCAGACACAGCTTGGAATCGGTATAGTTTTGAAATGCGAGGTTAGACTTGGGAGGGGGAGTGCAGTTTGATTTGCGTTCTTTAATTATGAACGACTCGAAAAACAAATCGCGACGTGAAAGCAAGTGGATAATAATATTGTTGTGGGGAAAGTTTGTGGCGCAACATTCGTTTCGAAAGAGGGTTCCTCGTGAATTAAACTAATTGCGGCAGTGTTGCACGTTTCCAAGACGGTCGAATCGTGTTCCAGAGAGAACCTCCAGCGTTTGCTTCTCTGAAATCGTAACTTTTTCTCTCTTTGCTTTGCTGGCGCAAATTGTCAATTCCTTTTTTTTTTCTGTGTAAAATACTACTGCATTCCTGACATGGAAACCGGGGGGTGGGGGGGGGGGGGGGAGAGAGAGAGAGAGAGAGGAGGAAAGAGAAAGGACCATGTTTTATTCAGACCGTGAAACTGACAAATAGTGCTGTTTTTCTCCATTTGCCTTTATTCCTGGAAAGAGAAGAACTCCCAAAATTGCAACCGTATCTTTGGTTGTCTGGTTGCATTCGTGTTTAAATATTATAATTACTACTATGGACGTACATCACGTCAACGCCATAAGAAAGCCGTTGCCGCTGCTTCTCCAGCCATTGGTATAGTGACATGAGGGATGGGCTAATGCATTGGAAGCTGTAAAAGTTGACAGGACTTGAATGAATAGATATCCGTGTTTCTTTCAGCTGATCTTCGCTGTGTTGGATTGTTTATCGATGCATATTGAGTAACCGAGTAACGTTTTATGAAGTGTTATTTATTCTAGTGTTTCTGGTATTGCATCTCATTTGTACAGGACGAACTCAAAGCTTTCTTGTATTGGGATGTTGAGATACATGAGAAATGTTTTAGTTATATATGTTTAGCAGGACATGTTATGTTTTGTGTTTAAATATATCTTTTGTTTACACAGATGACACAATCTGAAGGATTGTAACAATGTATACTGTGTTTTATGCCAGTATTGATATTGTATCATTCTTTGTCAGTACCTGTCACTTGTTAATTTCAATCAATTTTTAATTGAACAGAGGATGCATAATGATATTTTAAGAATTGTAACCTTAAGTTAGTATTAATATTCTAACTTTAGGTTTGTATACCATAAACTCTTATAGGTGATCCTGGTATGTTTGAAATATCTTCAAGTTACTGAATGGAATAATTTTAGCTAATACTTCTCAAAATTGATTGAAAATGTAATTTCTAAGCACTAAAGATACCCAAGCCTAAATTCACTTTATGCAACTCCTTTGAGGTATGGGATGATGTGAAATTCTGCAAACTTTTTTTTTAAACGAAACAAAATTGCAATGTTTCTACCTGCTGACTTCCACAGATATTGCTCTTCAATTTAGCAGTAATACCATTTACTTTAGTTACGTTCATAAGTGTTTTTTTTTGGAGTAGAGGAATGCAAACATAGTCCATAACCAGCTTATAGAAGCCATGGATAAAGTGTACTTTTTAAAAATGCATTGCCTAGGTAAACGTTTTACATACACAACATGTTTCTTTAACATCTCTTCTGATAGAATCCATATGATTATTGGTTATACACTTCAGGTCAAATTTGTGATTTCTGACAATGGTTAAAACATTGTTAGAAAACAGATCATGAACTCAAACCGGTTTGTTTTTTGAACTTATTCTTAAAAAATTTCACAAACACAAATTCATTTTTGATTTCTTCAATGTATTTTGTAATTATTAAATTGTTTATTAGAGTTTATTAAATTGAAACATTTCATACCAATGTTGTTTAAAGACCTCTTTAAAAAAAACTAGTTACACAAGTGTGTAACAAACTCAATTAATCTTAATTTATGAAAATATTATGATTATGAAAGTCACATTTATGAAAATTCTGTTGGCTAGCTTTTTGTTTGTATCACAGCAATAGTTATGAAATCTGTTGTATGGATTAGATTTTTGGTATACCTACACATGATCAATTGTGGCTTCCTTTACTTCATATATCTTATGTTCTGGTAAATATAATTGTGCTCAAGTATAATTGTGCTCATTTTAAATTATATAGTCATAATAATTGGCAAATGACTAAACCAAAACATCACTTTTTAATGAAACTGAAAGATTGTTAGCACAAATGGACTGCAGCTTTAAGATTGTTTTGAAGAACAACTTTTGTTATTGCGATAAAGTAGACTTTCATTGGTTCCTGGCTATCTATTTACTGAGGACTGTGCATTTATTTATTTTTAAAAAGGAGATTTGCAAAATATGAAACTTGAAACTTTATTAACAATATTGGATTTCTTCAATTAAGTATAACCTCTACTGTCTGTTGTTAATTCAAATTGTGTTTCAATAGTTTTAAGTTCAGCTTTATTCATTGACTGCAGTATTTGGACGTTGTGTAACTAAGAGGGCAAATAAATTGCCCCAGTAGATGAAGAATGTTGAAATAGATATACTGTATTTCAATTATTTCATGAATAGGTGTGAGATTGTGATGAACACCTTGGAACATAGATATTCTACTTACAAATACGAAAACCAGTATCATTCTTGACTTAGTTTCAGAAAAACATTGTTTTGAATTAGTGCAAACAATATATATTAAACTATTCTGCTTAATAATCACATGCAAGCAATTCAATATTCAGTCCTGTACAATAAACTATGAACGCTTTGAAAAAAATGGCAGTGTAATTTATTCTGTGCATCTTGTTGTTATGATCAGATATACTAGCTATTATGAGATTTCTTCAGAAATTGTTTTTTCAAGATATCCCAGGTGTTTCCTTAAGGTATGAAATCTGTTTTTGAGTGTAAAATTATGCAAATAGCTCAAGAAGTTAGTATATTCTGATTCTGCATGAATCATTAGCAGCATTTTAACAAGCACAGCAATTCTTGTCAAAGAGAAGAGGGATTCTTTCGGTGTTCTGGCCAACAATTCCTCAGGTTAAATTGTTTGTTTGTGGGACATTGGTGTGTGCAAACTGATAGCTGCATTTCACCCACAAAATACACCACTTTTAAGTATATCCTGCAAAACGCTTCAGTAATGTGCTGAGGTGCTACATCAAATGCAAGGATTATTACTAATAATGTGGTATAGCTTTTTCTCCATTGAGATGTTATGCACACAATTTCATAAGACAAAAATAAATTAATGAATATTTACACATGTAAATATGTTGCTTTCTAACATAACACAACTGAAAGTAAAGTTTTAGCTAATGGAGTATGACCAATTATCTTTCGTAGACATTTGGGTATCCTGTCATTTGAATAAGAAAACAATCAAAGAAAATGATTTCCATTAATAGTAATCTTATACAAATGTTTCCTTAGAAAATTAGGTATCTTGGATTCTTTGTGTATGCATATGCTCTAAATCTCCACAGGATTAATGAATTTTCTCAGAAGTTGTGCTTAAGTGCACATGTTTCAGTGCTCAAGAAATTATTTAAATTATTTGTTTTGTTTTATGTATATATTCTTCTAACTTG